TCGGCGTTTTTACAGTCGTTAGCTAGGCTGCGAGACCAACATGGATAGAAATCAAAAGTCTGTTTCTCACATCTTTTTTGCGCAGGCCACGATTTTCGTCGCACAGTGGTGGGAGCGAGCTGGAAAAGGTCGGGGACAAATAGTCGTCTAGTGACTATTGTCGTAATAATAGTATTTATCATTGTCCTTAATATCATGAAATAATCATTAATTATCATTAAATATATCATCTTATTCCTATGTACTAGTTCTTGGGTGACCCTTCCTGCTTTCTCGGGCCAGTGTGCGGCGGGATCGGCGGCATATTTCTGGAGGATTCGTGGTTTTTTTTTATAATTTCAAGTACTCAAATTAGGGTACTAGTCAGTGGCGTGGCGTGAATTGAGATATATCGATTGTTATGCCATTTAAACCTATGAAAAAAGATCGATTATCAGGGTGTTCGCAGCGAACACCTAAATAATCGATTCTTTACCATAGTTTCAAATGGCGAGATATCGATAATCGATTATTCACGCCACGCCACTGGTACTATTAGTACTAATGACGTGAATACGAGAGTAATGCATTAAATCTAACTTTCCAAAAAGGAAAACTATATATAACTGCCTAAATGTAGTTAATCTATGGGTGAAACTGCAATATCAAGATTTTGGGTGTGTGTAGGGTACACACGCGTACGCAAGGGATAGTGTTTGAAATACATTAATTTGCAGTGTTNAGTCTGTATATGTACATCCTCTAATTAATTGTCATCATTAATTATTTATTCTTAAAACTAATGGCTGTCTTGCCTGTCCTGAAGTAAGTATGTTGCAACACACTTATAGTATTGGTGGTTTATGCAATACAAGTATTTCATGAAACACCAATTATACGCGATTTTATCTTGAATTTATCATGATTGGGTGCTGCAGTAAGGGGGGGAGGGGTGGAGAGAGTTTTTTTTTTTTTTTACGTGTCGCAAGGAATATGTAAGGATGACGCGCAACGTCGCGGTGCACGTGGGTGCACTTTGCTGCTGACTTAGCTTTTGTGGGGTCTGCGTCGACTCCGCGCTGTTATGCGCCCTCCTCGACTTTCCAGTCTGCCACATTCATTTTGAGAAGGTGTTCTTATTGTTTTTCTGAATTGTTTCGTGCTCTGGTCTACCATGGAGGCTGAACGTCAAAGCGTTGTTTGTCCGCGGTGCAAGTGCCTTTTTATCATTGTGCCCCCTGGATCGTCTTTTGGGAGACAGGATCCTTTTCGTGGCGAACCAGCTGTCTCAGGAGCTGCTCCCGGAGTCCCGAGGGACCCAAGGCTCCGCTCCCAGCCCGGACTCCTCCCATCTACTGGTAACCCAGAACCGGTAGCAAAGGACACTGGTAACCAAGTTCCTGTTTGTAACGTCCAGGGTCAGGCCCGCGATGCTCCAGTGATGGAAGAAAAGGCTACTGGCTGCAGGCTGACGCCTGTCCTGGTCCCAGCGTGGCCCTTTGAGCCCTTATCCGCAGTCCATTAAGTTTTTTTTTGGCAGAAGAGACCTTAGTGTATCAAGTATTTTCAATTGTATTAAGATTTATTATGTTTTTGTGGTAAATTTTTGGTGCCGGGTTTAAGGCGATTCTAATTAAAGTGCAGTTCATCTATCTATCCCAAGTGTTTATTTTTATTTGCTAATGATTATTTCTATATATACATACTTTTAGTTCCAAAAAAGAAAGGTTTCTGCTACAATTACTGATACCTGAATGATACAAATATTGTCACCCACTAGTCCCTAATTGCTAAAGTTGCACATTTTTCTCTGGTGGTCGGCTCTGTCCCTAAGACGCCTAGTTCTCGGCTTCAGTGCGAGTCATTGCGTCTTCGTTCGCGTCGTGTGTTTTTAAAGTTTGAGAGAGGAAAAAAAATAATGTTTCCTTCCGAATTCCGCGGCACCGGGCGGGGCTGGTGTGAAGTGTTAACGTTGCTCCGGGAAGCAGTGCTCTGGTGTAGCCCTTGTGTGTTGAAGCCCCATGAGGATGGGCTGGCTGTTTTTTTCTTGCGCAGCGGAGCTCGCTTCGACTTTGGGTGGCACCTCGAACAGGTGTGCCAGGGCCTTCTAGACCGGTACGTGCGTGAGGTGCGATATGGGCTAGCCGACGGGGATCCCGATAGGGACGAGAAGGCTGGTTGTGAGCTCCTGCGATTCGTGGTGGAGTGGGATGCCGGGGATCAAGAGGTGATCCTTGTCTGGCTGTATGAGGTGGACACTGGACAGCCTTCCGCCGCCCACCCAGTGGTGATCGCGCGGTGGTGCCTCGGATTATCATGTAATTTTAAGTTTTTCGTTAGGTTTACAAAAGGTGTCAAAAGTGAGCCCCTTTTCATTTATCTCCTGCGGTTCCTTACGGTTACTACGGTTCTACGGTCGGCGGCTTCCCCGACGAGAAGAAATTATCGAGTGTTTTATTTCCTAAATAAAATAATCTAAGGCTTTCACGACAACTAACACCTTACGTGGCCTCCAACCTGATACGCCATGATAATAAGTGGTTTTAAAGAAAAGGCCTCTTTTACAGCATGTTGATGGTGCGTTGTGTCCAAGAGAATGTACCTTTACTTTGTCCTCCGTTCCCGCTTGTACTGCCAGTAAATGCATTTGACACCTAAGCTGCAGCCACTCCACAGGGAGAATAGACACTCTAAACAATTTAGGAGGAGAGTGCGTGATCTGGCACCTCTCTTCCTTTTAGCGGACGAGAATAAAGAGGATATCGTTCAACGCACAAATGCTGGCAACGTCCATAAAATGCAAGAGCTATTCAAAGAGAAAATCGGTCAATTTATTTATCCGAAAAAGCCCTTCAACCCTGCATTGTTAATAATTGTACAAATCGTCGTCTCCCGCACGAAGTCGTCCACCATCCCACAATGGGTGACTGGCCACACTCCGTGCTGTACGCTGCGTGTGCGATTACTTACAGAAGGAAGGTTTTCTCTCTGTAGATACCAAGCGACATAATTCGGATCCAATGGAGTGTCAATTTGGAACTTTCAGATGCAACTGTGGCGGTAACGATCAAAGACCGGATGGCCCTCAGTTTGTAGGAGGGTATAAAACATCCGTTCTTAATAATACCACTGATTCTAATGTGCAAGGTAATTGTGAATATGATAATGTAAAGTTGCTAAGTAATTTAAGAGTATTGCTTGTAAATGACGAAAAGAAGTAGAAACTAAGAAGGAGATAGAGAAACTTGTTGTTGAAGTTGAAAAAGAATTAAGCCACACTTAGGTCTGCCCGATTGAAAGCTTCCGTCAAAGCAGGAGATGAGGAGTCACGTCCTATCGCACATTTTGCGGGTTTTGCTGCTAAACAAATAGTCGGTAAATTGAAATGCACTATTTGCTGTAACCGTTTACTTGCCAAATCCCTTGGCCCCTGCCACTCTCTAATTGCCGCAAGGGAGTATGATAAACAGAAAAGGAGCTTGACTTACTGTTGTGAGAAGTTCGTAGAAATTGTAGGTTCTTCCCTGTACTATTGTGATGATCTGATTGAAGAGCAATCCCACATAGCGCAGCTTAAGGCGAAAATAACGAAAGCCCTTGGCCAAAAATATTTCTTGCAGTGGCTGATTTCTAATTGTTGTTCCTAATCTCATGCTGAATCAATGATCTCCGGTTTTTTGCGAGACAGTATTCCACATTACAATCAAGTGGTGGTGGCAAAGGAAAAATCGCGCCTTTGCTAAAGAGAACTCGGCCGGACAGGCAAAACGCAAAATGAAAATTTTGAAGCACCAGTAAGAGTTTTGTCATACTCATGGTAATAATGATCACTTTTTAAAATATTTTATTCTTGAAATTTTGCATCTATTATTGGGTTAATAATATTAATTCAACAGCAAGAGGATTATTTTTTACTTTTCATTGTATCATGCGTGTGTGGTGTTTACAGTTGATGATTACTTTGTTACAGACTTTATAGAGCATCATTTTTTTATCTACATTTATGTTCTTATTAATCGAGGAATTAATTTTTTTTTTCGTTTAAGAAATAAAATATTTTTATTTAGAGGAGTTATATTAGTCGTAATAGTACTTAGTTGCTACGATAGGCTAAATTTTACCCTTAGGACAAGTGTCATTTTGGCAGGCTTACAGTTATCTTTAATCTGAGTTCATCTATTTAATGTAATTTTCATATTTATTGTTTGTTTCTCCCCACACTCATGCAGCAATCATTATTTCAACGATGTCACTATTAATGTTTTAGTGAAAGTAATTAGTAATAGTAATTTTTTCATTCTGTTCCATGTTAAAAAACTACCTCTATTATATATTATGATAAATTATTAAACATTTAAAAAAATATTGTTGATATTATTTTTTTAAAAAAAAAATTATACATAAACATTAACAATTATCAGGATGAAAGACTTGCAATCCTAATGTCTGGTATGCCTGACCACAAAGAAGGTAAATTGCTGGGTACGCCTACTATTCAAGACGGAAAAGCTCAATTTAGGCCCCCCCTCCCCCCCCGATGAGATCGTTACGCCACTGTACCAGGACAGGGACATCCACAAATTCCTGTACAGGACCGGTTTACACGGAGCTTCTGTTTTTCAAACAGATGATGGGGCATTAGTGAAAAAGATAAAAGGCGCAGCCAAAAAGGAAACTCAGGCTATGTTACGCGGAAAAAATTAGAGCCATTGGTGCGAGAAGCTTTAGAAAAAAAGTTATAAGTTAAAACCACCGTGACTGGTCTTGTTTTGAACGGCAATTTTCCTGTGTTTGGTACATCATCTGATGGGTTAATAACAAAAACACACGTGATAGAGATTAAGTGTCCTAGCACTAAAGAAACGTTCCATAAGTATTTCTCAGAGGATAAAAAAAATCCTGCACCTCGTTATATGGCTCAGATTCAGCTGCACATGTGCTTCATGTGCTGCAAAAATGAGGGTATTTTTTGCGTTGCAGATCCTGGGTTTACCGTAGAAGTACCCAAAAAAACAGAGCTGTACATGCCTTATGATGAAGACTTTACTAAAAGCATTTACCGAAAAGCTGAGGCTTTCTGGGAAAAATCTATTTCCCCTAAATTGTATAATTCTGTGTAGGAGTAAGTGTGAAAAACGCGTAACATCGCGTAACGCTGGGAGAACGTTAAGACATAACAGAACGGGACATAGTATTCCAGTAGCGGACAATTGTCAGTAAATCTAGAGAAACCAGACAAATTGTCACAAATAGAAACTTAGGTAAATAAACAAACAAACCGGACAGCAGCCATATTGTTCGGACTAAATCGAAATAAACCGAGGGTCACCTAACAGGTGACTTTTCAAAATGGCGTCAAGCCAACAATGTGCATTCAAAAGGCGTTTTAGAGACGTTCAATTTTTGGTGTTTTCAAAGTAAGATTTCTCAGGCCAGAGGGCTTAAAAAAATCGGGAAAAATTCGGTATAATGACTTCACCTAGTACTTTCATAGTATGCAATAAAAAAATTCAGCCAAGCTGACCCATTGCCAGGATCGAAGCAAAATTGCCCTACCAAGCAGAAGAAGGGATATCACAGGGGCAAGGTTTGCTTCGCCCTCTTCCTTTAACAATTTATTTTAACGAAAATGAGTTGGACTTGGAATTGACGGAATGGCACCCAAGCATGCTATCCCAAACACATTGCCCTGATGCATGAGCAAATAAATACCATACAGATATACAGAGTATTTCCAATAAGACTTAGGCAAAAAAAACTTTGAAAAGTGTAACAAATATGGACATGAAATAAATGCTTGAATGACCCGATGCATTGGCAAAATAGTTTGGAAATTTCACAATCATGACAATTTTATACTTCCTGCCAGATTTTCTTTTCCTTCTCCTACAAAAGTAAATTCTGACCTAATTAAAAATGGAAAAAATTGCAATACTGAATAGTTTTTCACTTGCTGAAATGATTTCTTCTTCCTCTGATTCTCAAGGACAGTGGTAATGCGACTAGCAGGGAACACCAGTTGGAGCGATGGGTGCTGGGCTACCTGAGTGGCTCAACAACTTACTATCCTGATTGTCAATTACAGTAAAACTTGCTTATATCGGATCGCGTAGACCGACCGAAATTTCCAATGTAAGTGCGTTCCGGGAGAACCGAGTTTCAATGTTTTTTGCCTAAAATTGCGAAAATAATGGATTTTTACCCAGCCGACAGTTCATTTTGTATCAGGCGCAAATGACCATGTCCCACCCCCTGCACTCACACAGGAACTGAGTATATCTTTCAACACTTCACGCTACTCTCCGATGAACTGCACTGCAGGACGAGAAAAAGAGGTGTGGAATAACGGGAGGGGTAAAACTTGCTGTAAGGTCTTGCTCTCCGCGTGCGCAGAAAGCACACGCATGACGTAAACACAATAGCCAATCAGATCGAATGCACCTGTTGTCATTTATGTAAACAGAAGATTGATGAGGACCGTGATTAATCATGCTTCCTGTCTATTTACGTAAGCTTCACCTTTCTATTATGTAAATGGAACTGATATCGAGTGAACTTTATCTACTCTCACCATTCATCAGCTATGTCTGTGCTGATTGACCTTGGATTTGTGTTCATCGCCTTGGTTTTGATAAGATAAATTTATAATCAAGTAGAAAGTTACAGATTTTGCGAGTGATATGGCGCCACTGTTTTAGACAGGCGGTTTTAGGCAGAGGCCTTATCAGAAACGAAGCGTTTTGAATGTGAGGAAAAAATTAAAATCATTTAACATTGCGAGGAAAACAAACAAGAGCTGCAAAAAGAAATCTCCATAAAATTTAAAGTGCACATTTTAGCCAAAAAACTTTGCCTTGCAGCGATACGTTTCCTCAAAATTTGCAGATCAATTGATAGACATTGATGACGAAGTGCAGAAGGTTCTTTTTTTTTCAGCCATTCAGAAGAAAGTGACGGATAGAGCAGTACTTCAGCATAGAGTAGACTTTTATTGCTGACAATGTACATGTGTCAAACATTAGAAAAATAAACTGCAAAAACTTGGCAACCTAATTCTTGTTTTCCTTTGATACACCTTCTCCGACCTACTTAGCGGGTTATTGAATTCTTTTTCAGTCGCGTCTCGCATGGCAATAAGGCACGTGATCAATAAGGAATTGATTCGTGTACCACCAGTAACAGAATGGCATTTCCTTTATCTTGATTCTTTTGAATAGTCGCTGAAGATACAACAGGGTAAGTTTTGAAACTCTGTGCAGATTTTGGAGGAAAATCCTGTTTACATCGGTTTCAGACCGAAAATTTGTCACCTTATAGGCGGGTTCCATTATGGGCAGTTCCGATGTATCCGGAATTTTTTTACATTGTTCTGATGGGCAAAAAAACGGGGCCGCGCGCAACTTCCGATATAAGCATAGGACGATATAAGCGAGTTTTACTATACAATACAAAAGTAGAAAAAGGAGAAAAAAATATGTTCACTTATACACATTATTGAAGATCATTCCAGCAGCACAGGGATGTCCAGGAATTCATTCCAGCAGCTCTAGGGTGTCCAGGAATTCATTCCATGAGCTCAGGGATGTTCAGGAATTCATTCAATCAGAAAATCTGCAATTTCTTCCTTCATTTTGTCTCTTAGTATTTGATTATGATGTTTCCTTAATGAATTTTGCAGTAAATGTATTTGATTATTCTGGGGAATGATAAAAGAACACTGAATCAATTTGGAGGTCTTCTTGTTCTTTAAATGGGCAGGGTGTGACAGAAATATACCAAGTTGCATAAGTTGGCACCAATTAATGTTTTACAAATATTTCAATATAAAACTCGATGCTAAAAACAAGGTTTAACAACGATCGTTTTTGTGGATTAAACATTTTTCCAATTTGAATTTTTGACAGGAGAAAATTTGCGACTGATTAAATTCAAACCTTTTCTCTGCTCATTTCTTCTCCAAATGCTACGCACTGCTTTTCTATTTAACTCTGGTAAAATTCTCCAAGGAATCTGAATCTACATCTTCTTGACACCGACAGATTTTACATGTTACATTGATGAATGAGGTAGATGGAGAAATGCCAGTCAACTGTGGCACACTGTCTTTCAATTTGAATTTGGGATAATTATTTATTATTTCGCATCGGTACTAATCATTTTTTTTAAGATTCAACCATTGTTGAGACATAGATGGATTAAATGTGATTGAAAAATTTTCAATCTAAGTTTCTATTCAAAGGTTCCTAGACCCTGTCTTTTTTCAAGTTTACAGTCATTTTACTATATTACAGCTTTTAATCTTAGAAAATAAAATGTTTTACATAATAATGCTTGCCATCTGTTTCAAGTGGAAGTATTGATAATACATCATGGTCACATTCGTCATAATGAGAGTCATGTCACAAGAGAAAGAACACATGTCATGAATTGTGCAAAACTTGCTTGATAAGCGAAATCCCCAACTAACTTAATCCTACATCTTTCATAAATACAAGATTTAAATGGAGACATGGACATTTTGACCATACAGAATGCAAGAGAAAATCAATATTTAAAAGAGCAATGTTTCCACTTGATAATTCAATCAATAGACAAGATGACACATGATGAAACTTTAATCTTTGTTTTAAATTTGCCTCTCCTTTATTACTTATCACAGACTGCGGGAGTTTTATTTTACATGCTATTATATTTTCCATAATAGAGGTGCTATTGCCATTCTTGAGTTTTTACAGTGAATCTAAAATAAACTTACCGATTCTGCTAAAATTAACTGACAGCCATAACAAACAGGATTGAAAAATGTACCATTTGCTTCATTTTTGCAACTGCTACTCAATATTCTATTTTTGGCTCTTTCAGAACTATGGTTCATCACATGAATTCCTAAAAAATAAAATTTAGAATAGATATTACAGAGCACTAGTTCAGGACAAAAAATGACCCCAGTAGAAATGAGATAATATTTAAACAAAAGTATTTTCTGGACACATTTGGACCTCTTACACCAGGGGTGGCTTGAAAGTAATGCCTTTGGGCTTAAAACTCAAAAACAATGAAAGCCTCTCTGGCAAAAGCTAGGAAAGCACTTAGAATAGATGTCTCAAGCTTCCTAACAGTTTATCAGACTTGAAAAAATTTAACACATGTGCGTGTCAAGAACATGCAAGAATATGCTCTTTAAAATGCCACAAGTCTTTTTTCGATCTTATTAGATGATACTGACAAAAATCTGTTTCCAATTTCTCTATGTGCTTCTTTGTCTGAAATCAGATGTTTAGCACTACGTTGATTCAACTGCTAGTAAGGCGATTTTGCCTTGAGCCGATCATAATCGGTCATGGCAATGTTACTTTAGCTGGTCGCAACGAGTCAGTTGTGCTAGTTACAGAATGGCGTTTGAGTGGTTTATGCTTATTGATTAGTAAAACATTATTACATCTTTTCAAATACCTACTACCTTTCCAATATTAATGGAAACATTAGTCATCGAAAAACACAAAATATGATGCCATCCCCAGCAGCTGCGTATACCATGGTTCTTTTCACCTTGGTCTCATCAATCGGTGAAAAGTACACACATTTTCATTGGATATTCAGTGTAAAACATGGATGAAACCAAGGTGAAAGAAACTATGATATGCACTAACTTGGTTAATGCAGTCGTATGTCATGTTATTGACCGATAATATCTCTGTTCAGACAGTGAATTCGGTTGTTGGACGGATCTTAGTAATTTTTGCTAGTCTTCAGGCTTACAGTATTAAACTACGATTCTGTGCGTCACTCAACTGACAGATTTACTAGGGCTGATAGCCACTGAGTAAAAAGCTACCTAGGGTGCACTCAAAGGCCCTAATCTGTTGAAGTGTGCCTGGGCTGATCGCTTTCAGCCTACAGTCTGTAACATGCATTCAATTGTCAAAACCACACAGTGGACTTGATCAATCAATTTTGAAAAGTGCTAACATACCATCACTGTTGATTGCAGCTTTCCCATACTTGGATACAGCAGATGAGATTTGTGTGGCCAGATATGCAGAGGATTCAGTTGCATAGATATCTAGAGGACCCTGGAAAGAGAGCAAACCATTGACTTACACAGCAGAGAAAGTTAACAACATGAAATGATACATTACTGTTAATGATTGGCATTATGAAAATGGTGCAGAAGTCTTGGGTAAATGGTCAAATAGTCTTGTACATATTGAAATTCTGGTTCCATCACTGATTTTGGACATAAAAATTGATTTCTTTCAGAAGGAGTAGTGAAATTATTCACTAAAAATGTGCATCTTAGAATAATATCTGCGATGAAGAAGTTGAACTAACATTCATCTTAAAATCTACAGTATGTCACAATATACAGAATTTTACGAATTTAGACAGTTCAAATGCATGAGAGGATTTGGAGAGGAAAATACAAACAAGGAAAGTTGGTAAATTTGATGAATTTTTACTTTCAAAATGTTCAAAACTCGAGAGGTTATTGTACAAAATGCGCTGAAATTCACAACTTGTCAAAATTTGACAATCTACCTGGGTGCTTGATAGAATGCCTGATTTTACCAAGTATTTGCCCTCGACACCTACAAGAGATGATCTTTTGGAAGGTGATTTTAGTTGTGTCAATTTTAAAAAATAACCCTCCGAGTTGATATTGTTGGTGTTGATGAAATTGGAGTGAATGATTTCTGTAACCAAAGAAACTGTGCTTTCAAAACTTTGGCATTTTTCTTCATCACCTAAAGTTATTTTTCTTAAAATTGACCAATACACAATTCAGGGAAGTATTGAACATTGAACTTACTGCAAACTTGATCTCAATTTTTGATATAATATTGCTTCACTGAAATTTTGCCTGCACAAAAATATCTATTTACTTCTATGTGATGAGGACAAACTGGGTGGCAATGGATTGCAGCACTTTCTGACGGGGAATATAATCTCTAAGAAACATAGCAGTACGAGCGTGATGTTATTCTGGCTGAAGTTCCCATTTACTCCAATGCAGATAAAAAAAACTGCTTCCTGAGTTACTCCCATAAATAACACCTCACATCAGATAGCAGAATTGATAAGAAGTTGATGGGGCAATTTATTTTAAAGGAGAAGTGAGAGAGATCTTCTCATTTACAAGAAAATCTTAGAGCCAGGTTGCAAAATTGCGTTTAATTAGCATGCTCTAGCTCTTGGTAGATTCTTTTCATACGAAATTCATGAGCTGAAAAATAGGACTAGGTGATCTTGCTTACTTGGCTTGAATTGACACTTCCTTCATTCAGCGCTACCAATTTGCAAGAAGACTCTTCGTAAATATTACGCCTGAAAGCAGAATTTACAGAGGGAAACAGATTTTACCTGGCATAGTTCACATGACGAAGTTCCAAAATTTGGACTGAGTGGATTTAAAGACAATTTCTCTCCAGTTCTGAATATTGTTGACATCGTAGATGGAAATTCACAATGAAGACCAACAAGGAAGTTTTCTGTTAGTTTTTGAAGACTACAATTTTTCCTTTCCTGAAAAAGGAAGTCAATTGGGTGAATAAAAATAAAAAAGGGGGAAAAAGTACAAAAATAAATATAATTTGATGTAATCAAAACGTATACACTTTATGAAAATGTTTAAAATAAAGAAAATGGTCATCCTTTTCCTCTCACTTTAATTCTTTAGTGTTTGTTGAGTCTAAATTCTTCTTTACAGAGAAAGGGGGAAAATTAAATCACAAATGGGACATTTTCTCCCATCATTCCTCTTTCTTTGTAAAAAAGTTGATTTTTTAGTGTGTATTCTCACAATGGTTTTAGGCTCACTTGCCTCCATTAGCTCATCAACAAGAAAATATCAGAGGAATTCCTTTACAATCAGCAAAGATAGAACTTTGTTACTGGGAAGAAGAAAATAAAAGGGTAAGATAATCAAAAATATGCCAAAAAGTTTAACTGAATTCAAGTTTTACCTATAAAAACATTTTATGTTTGCTTCGTTCCCCATCAAAATTTAAGACTACAAACTTTAAAATAAAATCAAAGATTACAACTAAAAATAAATTCTGCCTTAAAATAGAGTGTGTCTTTATTCAATTTTTATTCATTTAAGAATATTTTTTGCCTTGTTAATTTTTAGAAATAGATAATTAAGGTAGCTATAATTAAGGTATGTTCTATTCCAATCAGTGTACGATTAAAAAATGAATCGCAATGGACCACTAGACAAGGTACGAATTTAAGCAATCTGATACATGATTCTTAACAAAAATTTCACGTAGAACACGATTCGCGCAATGAAAATTACTGAAACTAACTTCTTACGAAAATATTAACGTTTTTATTTCACATTGGTTACGAGGAATTTTAACAGCCCGCTCAAGAGAAACTCAAAGCTCTACGTCAGTCAAATCGCGCACTACAATGGTTTCAGCAAGTTTCTCGATCGAGCAATGTTCATTTTCCATCATGTGTTGTTCGAACTATAAGCAATTTGCAATAACTGAGCCAAAGCGTCAAGATTGAGAAGGCCAGATTTTTAAATCGCATAGACTGGCATGATAACGTTTAGCGCGCGATATGAATCACGTAGAGCATTGAGTTTTCATGAGCGGGTAGTTTGAATTCACGCATCAAGAATCATTAAATATCTTCGTAAGGAGTTGATTTCGGCAATTTCTGTTGTAAGCATCGTTTTCTACGTGAAATTTTGGTTAAGAAACATGTATCAGAATGCTGAAATTTGTACCTTGTCTAGTGGTCCATTAAGATCATTTAAATTTTTGTCAAAGTTTCTGATGACCGAACAGTTCCGATGGCTGAGCAAATTCCTACAGGTATTTGCTCACAAGAGATGTCAGCTTTGACTGTATGAGAATCAACAGATCAGAAAAGATTTGAAAGAGAAAACATAAAAAATACATGTCACAGGCAAACGATCAAATCAGGCATATACTCAAATGCTTGGGCAAACAGTCAAATGTTTTTACTTACATTGAAATTCTGATTGTATTGCTAATTATGGACCAAATAATTGTTTGCTTATCTACAGAGGAAGTTTCTGTAAAAATTGGCATCTCAAAATTATAAATAAGTTAGATCTAGTCCTAGAACAAGCTTTTATCTCTGGATTTTTAGCATGTCATAAAATACAGACTTTAGAGCGTTGAAGGTTAAGATACATACGAAACATTTGGAAAGAAAAATATAATAGAAGTTTGTAGATTTGATGAATTATTATATTCAAAACAGAGAAAACTCAAAACTTTGAAAACCATCAAAATTAGACTATCTGCCTTTATAGGTATTTGATAAAATGCCTGATTTGACTATTTGTTGGTGATATACATACAAAAAAAAAATGAACATGGGATAAAATTGTATAAACAGAAGACTTACTATGCTTGAAAATGCCGGGATGAAAACAGTTTTCAATCCTTTCATCAAGACATAGAATGCTACAGCTTTTTTACTAACATCTTGGAGAGGCCTGAGTAACAGAACCGAAGTGCATCTAGTATCACAGAATCCCTGTCACACACAAAAATAATATAAGAACGCTTTGTAGAAAGAAGATGAATTAAAATTAAAGCTTTTTAAACTGTGGAGTAATAAAACGTGTAAGGTTATGCGGACACACAGAGATTATTCTACCACAATTCCTTGATTTTATGACTTAACTTGACTTACAATGTATGACTGCAACTATCCAAAACACTGAAATGCATTAGACAAAAGAAGTATTGAACAATGATAATCAAATTGACAGCCTAGGGCCCATAACAATTATGCTTTTTAATATTCCAGTTCTTGAGAATACAAAATCCATTTTCAATCGAGAAGTTGTACATTTTTCAGCAATTGACAGGGATAATAACAGCAGTATTGCAAATTTTGCATGACAAAACACAGCAAAAATTGGCTCGAAAATTGCAGCCAACCACTCTCTAAAGCAGTGTTTTGGGCTAGTGTTAGACAAAGAAAAAATTAGATGCAAAAATACTCTGTAGATACTGTTCCTTGCTTGCTTTCTATGTAACTTCATATTTCTTAAATCTTGGACAGGAGATTTTCCGCTTTTACCATGAGAGTCTTAAAGCACTCTATGGGTAGGGAGAATTCTCTCTGTTGAAGATGTGACTGAAATTGACTCTTAGCCCTAGAGAACATGAAACGAAAATATAAAAAATTGTTACCACATCAAGGGGAAGATGAGCTCCTCTACCAATGACTATATTTGACATCAATTTCACAGCAAGATCCGTCCCTGTTTCAGCAGTTAAAATCTTAGAGCAATTTAATGTTAAGGCACTCTGGATTAGCAAATTATTTCTGAAAAATCAAAACAAATACTTCAGGAAAATGAAAGACAGAAAATAAAATATACATACAGGTGAATGAACTTAAATGAGCTTGTTAGGTAATTTTTTATTCTTGTCTTCTTGAAAAGTTGAGAGGGCACTTAGTTCACATGATTTTTCCCATATTTTTTCGGGTGATATTAAACCACGAAAAACAAGTTCAAAGTTACATATTTTCAGCTCCCATTAAAGTGCACATTTAGCTGAGATGGTGTTCAAAAATATCCCTGCCATTGTGATCCCTCTTGCAATCATGTGACCCCTCAGCCACTTTTCAGGGCAAGGACTACAGATAATACTTGAAATTCACCTCTATGAAATTAAACAACTATTTCCATTTTGGATCGTTCAAAGCATCAAGATTTTGTTTCAGTGCACTAGATGACAAACAGCTTCAAGTTGACACAACGAAATTAACTCCATTGAAAACGAATGTTAAAAACTTGACAAATAAAAGTGTTTCATTACTTCTTAGCTCAGACAAATGTATTCAACAATTACAACTACTACCCCCTAATCCCCGAGTTCTTTTTGTTTTGCGAGAATCAATTTGGGGCCTTGAAATTTTTAAATTGTATGACTGCGTAAAAATTAGTCAAGATCCAAGGAGGGGGAATTTTGTCAATTTTACCAATTTTCAAAACTTCCCTTACCTAAAGGCTTTTTCTTGTGAATGGATTTTTATTTTTAATTTCAAACTTGAAACTGCTTAACGACTAGCTTTGAATTAGCCACTGCAGTAAGTACCATAAAGGGTGATTGGCTCAACACTAATTAAAAATATTATAATATGTATGTTTGAGTGATGGAGCATGTCATCTTCATGCATGCTACTTGTTGTTTAAAGGTCTATTAATTTTCTCAGCATTGTGCCAATAGTTCCCTTTAGTTCTGTACAGAAAGAAAAGTAAGTAAAAACTTTGAGATTTCAAATGAGAAGGGTCTTAACCTTAATTTAATGAGCAAGTCTTCCTTAGAGGTGACAGATTTCAAGTCTTCAAATATTTTCCTAACTTTACTGACGGAGCATTCATTTATACTTAAGGTAGTTTCGCTCTGAATTTCTTTCAGATCATTGTGTTCGAAGTTAATTACTGACTCCAAAGGTACATAAAAAGTTGAAAGTCCGCAATTCTTCAACATGATTCTCATTTCTTGGAAGATTTTGAGCCGTTGTTCATTGCTAAGACCTAGGGCTGCTCCATCTGAAAAAGTGAGGAGAGATGTTAAAAAGAGATTGAAATGGCAAGATACTGTTTGCAATATCTTTAGCAGGCGAGTCATGCGACAGTGCTTAGCATAATTAGGCCTCCTTTACAGCTTAAAGAAATGTTTTCCTCCTTGTACCAACCAGATTCCGCAATAAAGAACTACCATTTCTGGCTCCTGGTAGAATGATTATAGGTGCCATGGGTTTCCCTTTGCGTATGAATGCTTATATGGATGAACCAGGAACATTAGTTCCTCATTGCACGATGAAATGCATTCGTAAGTCTGTAAAGCTGCAATTGCGTTTGATGTCAACCAAAAAAGAATTTTTTGTTTAGAAGTTTCACTTTTCCTGACATTCAAAGAAGTTAAGTTACTACACCGCTTCAGAGTTAAAGGATACATCGCAGACATATAGATCTTGAGGCTGAGATCAAAATAAAACATTAATTAAATAGCTGAATCTAGTTGAAGAAGATAATAACAACATAGGTTTTAAATCTGTGGCCAATAACTTCTTAGAATTTTAATTGAGTAGCGTTGATTTTCGAGAGATTTTTGTCCATTCTTGAAGAGATGATGGGATAAGAATGACCAAGAGCCCAACTCAGGACATTGACACAATAAGATCCATATAATTTTGGGTTTGATGAGTTTATACAGAATTGCTTATTATCTCCAGCATCTTTCAGATCCAATTTTTTGCAACTCAACTGCCTATCATTAAGATGCAAGATATGAATTTAGAATGGTAAAACTACACATTTTCGGAAGAAGAGAAAAAGTACAATCAAGTACAATGTTTCCTTACAGAGATATGTTGTTTGATCCAACAATGGTGATGACTAATTAGGAAGGTGTTCTAAAAGCCACTGTTTGTAATAATTGCTGAGCATTAATTTCATTCTGTTCTTTCCTGAGTAGTTTTTATGTTTTAAATCGCCGAGTGTAGCTTTTATCGCACGTTAAAAACTAAATGCGAAGCAGCAACCTTTGGCAACGTGAGAAAGTGAACACGGAGTAGCTGATGTTATAGGCTCCTTGTCATACCTAGAAAAAAAAGAATGACCCCTGAACAAAATAGAATTAAAGGTACTTACCATCAATAAAAACAATTATCGGACTGAACATAAGGCGTTTCGGAGTGGTGTCTTGCAAACCACAATGAATTAAGTCTACAAGTGTTGCACTCGCTAAACTGCCAGATACTGCAACTAATATTTTCTCTTTAGGTTTAATGAGTTTAGATTTACCAAGACAAGCACGAAACCTATGATTTACGTAGAGTAGGAGACAGTTCCTGGAAAAATACAAAACAGAGATATCAGTCCACTAGAGAAAAGAAATGAGGAGTAAAAGGGGAGAATAAATTACAGATTCAGAGAGGGAAAATAGAACCTTAATAAGCTTGGATATTGATGTCAAAGGATTGAACAAACATCTGTATTACAGAAAATTTGAATAACATAAGTATGTTTCTAAGCCTTCCAAGCAAATTACATAACTGGAGTGAAACTAGACTTGGACTTCAAGCACTGTACCACAAGATCATCACAAATAGATGAAGAGCTATATTCAACAAAATAATGGCAAGAAAGGCGATTGGCAGGCTTAAAAATTCTATTGAGTAACCAATTGTCATTAAAATTCACCTCCAGACATTTGGACTAAATTAAATAAAGAAAATCATTTTGTTTAACCCCCTCAATATTGCAAGAATTCTGAATAACAGTCAATGTGAATCCAAATGAATTTGGATACTTTCCACAGACGTAGCTCCGCTCTTTACCAATCCTAGATAAATTCTTACTTCTTTATTATCTTGGATATTAGACCTCAGAAAAGAACTAGATATTGGAATTATTGATGCAATATAAAAATCTTACTTGCAGAAAGCCTCCTTCAACTGTACTACTACTTTTGCAGGTTCGCTGCGACACTTTTTACATGTTGCATGGAATCTGAAAAATTCAAACCAAGTCTAGGTTATGGAGAGAAGAAAGAATCCAAGGATAATAACAATAAATTATGCCAATAGAACGACTAGACAGGGATGAGATTAACCAGCAGGCAACTTATAAGTTGGAGAAGAAAGAAAAGATTCAAATGCTTCAGGATTGATGCCTTCAGAAACTACCAAGATACGGCTGCAGCAAAAACAGCTCAAACTTCATTCCGCAAAACTAGTAGCTCAGTGACAGCCCAGGCAACTTATTGGGAGACAACTGTTGTTCATCGAGTGTGGCAACATTTTACGCAAATGGCTGCAATGCTATGATTATTTTAAATGATTCATAGACTTATTAGAGTTCACACCAAATACCTAAGTTAGCACACTTTCACACTGCGTTAGATGATTGTCAGACGTAACTTCGGCATGAAAAGTAAATGGAAGAATCAAGATGATTTATCTTCCAATGCAGTCTAAAAGTACGTAAACTTATTTAGCATGAACTCTAAGAAGACAAGCATTTAAGTAAAGCGATATGACACCTCACTTTGAGCATCTGCTACCATATCAAAATTATGAGCCTAACGCAAGGTTAGATAACCTGCTGATACACATGTCATGCTAGTCTGAAGCAACGTTGATAGACGTAGGTCAGTCCGGTAGGAAAGTTGAGGGTAATAATCTTTCCAAACAAGGCGAGGGCTATCCGCATTGCCAAAAGATTCCTCCGATTTGCTTATCCCACTCTCCTGTTTCCCCGTTCCAATTAATAGAATCGATGTATGCAAAAACGTCCGTTGTCTAATACAGGGTTTCATATTTGCAGTGGATTTCTTATGTCCCACAATGAATAAGATCGATCTCTTTGGTAAACATTTAATTACACTTAAGTAGGGGATTACTTATAAAATTGTTCTACATTCCTAACGACTTATACCATCTTCTGTCATCAAGTCATAACGAAATTGTCAACTTGAATTCTGAACACTGTCTTGGACATCAGACATTTTTGCATACGTTGATTCAATTGGTCTTTTGCAGATCAGGGAGATCAGGGGGGAACTATGCAGAGAGGTAGCACAAATTGAGGAAACGTTTGGAACGTAGCGAAACAGCAAATTGGGGAATTCGACTACAGATCGGGAATTTCTGAGGAACATCTTGCTATTGGACTGACCAAGATCTATCGACCTTGCCTTGAGGCACATTCACTCCGGTTACCGAGCTGCTCTGCAAATAAATAAATAATTTCCGTAAACTGTTAATAAATATATGATGGTTATTTATTGTTTTGGTCCATGACTAATAGGTAGAGGTCTAGGCAAAGGGCTCGTTGAGCGGATCATCAAGCTGCTTGTTCGGCAGCCTAAAGAGCAGCTCAGGAAGCTGTGTGAACGCGCCATTGGACGCTGGGCAAATTCGCTGAAAATGGGCAATGATGCAACTCTGACGATTCTAAAAAGGCCGATTGTCCTGGCCTGAGAATTGATTTCTCATCTTCTCTACATAAAGAACCAAGAAACTGGGAAAAAATAATATACTCACAATGATTTATCAGTGCCTGAGCCAGAACTAGTCAGACTCAAACAATCTAAATCGTCACTAACTGAACACATAACTGATAGGCACGGCTGACACTTATTCTGTAAAGTATTTTCTTGACTAGAAACAAGAAGGGTAAAAATAATTAATCTGGCGAAAATCCATCACGTATAATAAATAATATCACATCGATCACAGATCACACGTGCTGAAAATAATTGTGAGGTTAGAGATTCACGGTGCAAGATGGTGGGTGACATGAGGTGGGTGATGATTGGTTTAATTGAGATGGATTTTGGTTGCTGTTGTTGTTTGTACGTTGCTGTTGATTGGTCCCACACCAACGCGTTTAACCAACCGCCGGCGTTCCCGCGTTTTTTTTCGATTATGAGGCGCGAAATTTAAAATTGCGGGCTTTTTTCAAGCGAGCGCCATCGTGAAACCCGTTGCGCATTCACCTCTCTTAGAGTTAATTAAGCACCAATTGAAATCAATGTAAAGTAAGACGAAAATTTTCCGTTATGGTGCGACTTATGAGCTTTCAATCAGAAGCATATCTATTAATACCATTCAAATCTGTTAATCCGATGACCTGTTCTATCTGCTGATCTGTTAATTTATTTTCGGTTTTCAGGATACATCGTCCAGTAACAGAATTTTCTTTTTTAATTTTTGAATTTAAGTTACGCAGTTTATGGTTTAGTGACAGATTGAAAAATAGTATCATATGTCCACTGAGTATTGATGAATATTTTTGAAGACTTAAACGGTAGAATAAGAAAAGTGGTCTCTCTGCGTAGCGCGGGGATCCCCTCCCACCCCCCTTCCCCACTGCGACCTCAACTTAGAGAGTTTTTTCTTGAGCTTGGAAGTTTCTTTGAGAAGTTTCTTCTTGAAAAAAACTTGAATCGCAAACCCCCGGCGTGTGCATAAGCGGAATTAGAGCGCTCACGGCGGCGATGTCCGATGTACGGCGACCAGTTCGCCTTCAAATCTTGAGCAGGTAATTTGAGCGGCTGGGGTGCAGTAACAGTTGCTCACCGTAGTTTAGTCACGTTAGAAACATTCATTCCGTTCCCGTAACATTCGCGCATCAATGGAGTGATTGCTCATAGCAGCAGTGCAATGATCCGCGTTCCAATTACTAGAATGGACCACTGAACAAGGTACGGATTTAAGCAATTCAAAACAGCCAAAAACTGGGCAATTCAATTTTTACGAGAGAGCGTTTGTGCGGATTCCTTTGAAAATTTTAAGGAATTTGCTTCACACTATAGAGAAAATTCACTGTTTGCAAAAAAATCCGCACAGCCGTTTTCAAGTAAAAAATTGAATTGTCCATATAAAGGGTATCCCTGGGTAAGGGCACCAAAATGCCCCTCCTCACGGATTTTGAATTTAATGGTCTAAACCCTTTTTTGAGGTCCTAAAAACATGGTTTTGGGCAATTTTCACCTCTTGACCCCAACCATCCCCCCTCCAGCCCCGAAAAACCCATTTTTCGGGGAATTTAAGGGTATTTTTACGTTTTATTTCTTATCTCCCGCATTTTTCGATGAAAATGCACCAAAATTTCACCAATTACACATCAGGCCAATTAGATTCTTGGGTTAAAAAAGTAAAATTTATCGTACCATATTTTGACCCCTAAAAAAATCGTCAATTTCCAATTTTTTACAGATTTTAGCGGTTTTAAAAAAAATGAGGACACATACATTTTTTGTTTTGGCCTTAGTATGTACGTAATATACCCAGTTGTTACCAAAAAATTTCAAGCCTTCACGGATGGTGGCTCCCACCGAAAAAATGGTTTGTTTGGCGCCAGAACGGTCAAAATGGCTATTTTGGCAACGGTGTACTCGCGCGCTATCAAGATAGTAACACTAAAATCAATAATTTTTGGTTTCAATGTTTCAAAAAGCATGCCCTAGTATCGTCAGAAAAGGTTTCAAGTCGATCGAGTCCTTGTGCCCCACGTAAAGTACCAGTTTTTGGCGCCAAAATGGTCAACATTGCTTTTTCAGAAGAGAGGTTACTCGCGTAGGGTGGCCCTTATTTTTGACTTTACGGAGGTTAAAGTGCGGAACCCTGCAAATGGTTACATTTGATGAGAAAATAACGGGGATGAAATAAAAATGGAGAAAAAAATATTTTAAAACGCGCCTCAAAGAGCCTAAAGCTCCGAGCATGGCGTGCGAAAGACGCGTTTTTTCGTCATTTCGCGAATTTTTTTCCTCCCTTTGAAATAATTCTACGGTTTTGAAATTTTTCAAGGTAATACACTGTTTAGAGTATTTCACGAAAAAAATAACAATCTGTACCTCGCTACTTTTAAAATGCCCCCTTATCCCCTTCAAAGTGGCCACATCGTGTAATTTCGTCTTGTGTCACCGCCGACCAACGCGTTTGTCGATCGAATCAAATACAGGTAGTATGAGCAGGGAGTCAAAACGCCTTCAATTTATTGAACGCAATACGGACATCCGTCGAGGTTGTATAGTTGTATCAAGGCGCCGTAGCAAACGCGTCCCATTGTTTATCCTTACAAACGAATATAAGTTGAGAGAGGCCAGTCATAACGCCTTCAATTTTATTCATACATATTTTTTTGGGCCAAATGGGAGACGACGTTTCTCCATTTGCGACGTTGCAGACTTCCTTAGAAATTTTATTTTTCTTTCGAGAAGCTGGTCAACATAAAACTTAAAGTCTCCATGATTTTTCGTATTCGATAGCAAAAGATTTGGTTCAAAATTTAAAGTCGTAAATTTGGATTGTTTCTCATGGAAGAGATGAATTAAGAACGGAAATTTTGAAACACCGCAATGGAGATACGTGGTTTCGCACTTCAGTCGGACCGATACGGACATCCAACAAGCAAAAATAGTTGCATCAAGTCCCCGTCACCGCCGACCAACGCGTTTGTCGATCGAACCAACTACAGGTAGTATATGAGCAAGGAGTCAAAATGCCTGCAATTTATTGAACGCAATACGGACATCCGTCGAGGTTGTATAGTTGTATCAAGGCGCCGTAGCTAACGCGTCCCATTGTTTATCCTTACAAACGAATATAAGTTGAGAGAAGAAATTCATAATGCCTTCAATTTCATTCATACATATTTTTTGGGCCAAATGGGAGACGGCGTTTCTCCATTTGCGACGTTGCAGACTTCCTTAGAAATTTTATTTTTCTTTCGAGAAGCTGGTCAACATAAAACTTAAATTCTCCATGATTTTTCGTATTCGATAGCAGAAGATTTGGTTCAAAATTTAATGTCGGAAATGCAATAGCTGATGTGGCTTGATTCCTTTCTGCTGAACCCCGTCCAAATACGTTTCACTTCCTCCAAAAAAACACGAAGGATCCTAATTATTGAATTTTCAATTTTCTTCCCGGGTCGATTTTTTTTTACCGTCCCGTCAACTCTTTGGGCATCAACAATTCAACATCGACGCGGTTTCAATTTTCTTCCAATTTTCATAGACTTTTCTTGGCATAGAAAAAAAAACCATGGAAGTTTTAGAGAATTGACGTTGAACAGTTTTCCATGTAAAAAATGTCATGACAGGAAGTTTGCTACGTCGCAAACCGAGATAAGTGTTTCGGGAGTTTCACCGCTAATGAACTCTTTGAACACTAAACTAAACTAAAGCACCAAACTAAAGCAAGCAACTATTATTGCTCTCAAGCCGCTCACATCGTCTGCTTTAGTTTTGAAGGCGAACTAGTTGGAAAACGGCTAAGGCTTAGCACACGTCAGGGATTTGCAATTTAAGCACTTCTTTTTACACGTAAAATTTCGGGAGAAACACGATGATTCCAGAGGTTATCTCTGAAAGAAACTTCCAAGCTTAAAAAAGCTCACTATCTCCGTTTGCGACGTCGTAGACTTCCTGTCATACTTCATTCTTTCTTTGGAAAATTAGTCATCCCATTTTCTTGAACACTCCCGTGGTCTAACCTCTCTGTTGGTAGAATATTCTATACAAATTTCAAGCTGTAAAGTTGGCTTGTTCTGCTGCGAAAAAATAAAATAGGGGCGGAAATTTTGGGACATCGCAATAGAAGTATGCATGCAGTTTTGCACGTTGGTCATCGAAACATGAAGCATCATATGTAGAATTAAAAATAAAATAAACAAATCCATGATTCGGACCTGACTTGCGTTTTTCGCTACCGTAAAGAATTGTGGGTTTCCTTTTAACTCCCTTGTTTTATTCCCTGATTTCGTCACATGTAATCGATTGATTTAGTGGCTACGTTATTCGATATCATATCAAACCCAGTACCTTGTTTCTAATTCACGCCCTTTGCGCCATGGTGGTAAAATGCGTCCGGGTGTTTTTTCATAATCGTAAGCTCTTTGTTTAATGAGTCTTTAATTGATTTATGACCGATCAATGACTAGATTTTAATAAATTAACACGAGTAACTCATGAAGAATTTGTACATAAGGTTATATATTTTTGTTTTGGTTTGAACTAAGAGTTCGATATTATATTGAATGACGTTGTCACTGAATCACTGAATTGGTCTGTACTTTTACCTATTAACGAAGATCTTATTAACTTAATGGTAGATAGGAAACTGTTGTTGCCATGATAAGGGGTGAAATGAGAAGACTCGGTTAAAAAAAGCAGTAACTGTTGTTGAGCAATTTTTCTTTCATTCTTTTTTTTTACATAAATTTACTTAACACAAAATAGCTACAACTATCTCCTATAACCTGAAGCATTCGATAATATATCTATCACTTTGAACTTAAAAAGCTACAATGATGTGTAATCACCTCACCATTTTGTAAGGATACCTTTGGATTTCCCCCATCGTTTTTCGTTGATTTTAATGATATATCTGTGGCTTCTTATCTTATTCTTCGTCCGTAATTTCTCAAAAAATTGTTAATTTTAAGATTGAGGAATATGACATTTATTCCCAATCCAAAAATGGTTTTGAAGCTTTAGGCTTCAAGAGTAGTAATTTCTACCTAAGTACTGTTATTTTGATCAAAATTTGTGATGCAATTTGTGATGTTCTACGAGTTGATTCTCAGCCCATGCTATTTTTAACATCTGAAAATTAGCTAAAATTCAAAGTTCTTTCCAATAAAGACCAGACTAAAGAAAAGACAATCGTCATGAGATCATTCACATTCAAAGGCATAAGTGTATGCGAGAAAGTTATCATTCCATTGCAAAAAAAAGAGAAAATTTACATGTCATGGAATCCGAGTAAAAAAAAGTACCTTGTTGATTTCAGAGTAAATGATTTTCTCTCGAACAGAACAGATCTTCACATTTTAGTTACATTCTTAATTTACAGATTCGACCTGTGTCATTTTTCTTGAGGTGGATAGATCATCTCTATTTTTTATGTACAATTACTTTTTATAACAAAAGAAAAAAACTATTGCACCCAATCTTTTAAATGAAGAACATTTTAACTTTCTAAGTTTTACAGGGTAATTTTGTTTGTGTTTGCTGGGAACGATAGAATTAACTAAAACCCCGCGTTACGGCTCAAAGTACACAGTTCTCTTAGAGTAAGGTACGTGGGTATGTAGCTCTCTATAGAGACTTGTCCAAATTTGGGATGATAAAGGCTCTTGGTGCCTAAAATACATCAAAATGAGTGATTGTTTTGCCACAGAATATTTTGATAGAAAATTGATCTTAACTCTACAGGACTGATTTTCACAATGAGAGGAATACTTACACACACTAACAAAGTGATAGGAAAGTTGATGACCTATGTTCTACGTAGGAGTTGATGTAAAATCTGTCTGGTCTTGAGCAGAATTCAGCGCATGAAAAAGTCTTTGATGAGACACTTAAGAAAAAATTACAATACAATCATACTGTCTTTCTCACGCGCGTACTTAATTACAGTCAGCATAATTTTGATTTAAGTGATTTTTTAACCTCAATGACAATGAGAAAATAAAACCATCTACACATTAAAAAGGTACCAAGATTTGAACCAAATCAACAATGAACTAAAAGAGAAAGAAACAATAAAATTACTACAAGTATATGTTCCTTTTATGCTTGACTTGAGTAGCTATAAATAAAAACATGCTTAGAAATTACAAACCAACAAAAAACAATAATGAATTAAATAACAAAAACAGTACACGCTATCACTAGGAATAACTATAAATATTTTGTCTTGCATATCATTAATTCAGTAATAAACAAATATAACAAGAGTAATAAAATAAATAAATTAAAAAGAGATAAGTATGAGTATATTGAGCATTGGGTCATAAAAGAATGTCATGGCTATATTTCTGAAAATCTTACTGATTGTAAGCATATTTCAGTCGCAGAGGAATTTGAGACCAGTAGCACCTTTTCAGTGCTTACTATTTGACTTTTAATCACTGAACCGAACAACTCGGAGTTGAGGGAAAATAACACGACAAAGGAGAGTGTACTAAGTTAAAATCAAAATTAAAAACCTTCCACGTTCCGTGTGTGCAGAACGCAACACTTTTTGCTCGAAAGAGGTCCCATAAAATGAGGTCAAACGTCTATTTGACTGATAGATTTTCCTTATTTGAGGTGTTTTGACATTTTTAGACATTTCCAGCAGTTGCGAGTGTTATTTGTTAAGACATGCAAATGAATCACATATAACTTAAAAAAAGTACTTGTCATAATGGAAACTAAACTACAGCATCGATTTGTAAACATCCACGTAAAATTGCACTCAATCGCTTTTATCATATTCAACTCACATTGATCAATCTACGCTGAGTCTTCAGGAGCAGATGCTGCTAGCAATATAAGCTTTGAAAGAAAAATATATTTCCACTCATAAATTAAACAATGCAATGAATCTAAACCGAAACTTTTCCTTAAATACGTACACAGGAGGTCGGTAAGCTGATACCGAATAGAAAATCAAACAATTTCAAAGGTGAAGAATATGAGATCATATGTATAAGTGAAGATTCAATGCTGAATAAACAACAATAAGCATATCAGAGGGTTACGATCAATCCAGCATGGAGTTTACTTCGCGTGGTCTGAAACTAAGCGTGCAGGCATGATACCGACTCGGGAATGGGTGTTAAATCCAGTATCAATTCGCCGAAAGGTCGAGACAAGGTGCAATCAAATCATTATTGCAAAAGAAAACAAATGGCACTGTATATATTAAATAATGGCAAGAATAAATCAGTCGAATTTGGCAAGAAATTCTCAAAGTAAATTTTCATGAACATCATCTCCACACGATTACGACCCTGCGTATGCCTATTATTATTCAACATTAGGAGCGTTCGGTAAAAGTGAGCCAACCCTTAAAAACGCACTTACGTCGTACCTTATTTTTTACAATACACCTGCTCATCAAATTTTATAATAGCTATTTATAAACTTTTAAAACAACTCTTCTATACATTTACATATTTTTCTTTTGCACAATACAAAGGTCAAAACATCAACATCTGCTAAACAAAGCAACGATCTCGAGAGGGAAATCAAAACGTGGCGTGATGGACGATTTGACCATCGTCATTATCATCTCGATAACTTCACGTCTTTCCACTCCGGGAGAGCTACATGTTGCACATAGAAGTCACAGCCAAGCCTCAGAACCTGAACAAATCCAGCTAGCTGGAAAGGGCGATTGCACCAAAAAGAAGAGAGGACACTTCAACTCCTCTCCTCGGCGAGGTCTGCCCTGTGAGTAGCATGCTACTATCGATAGGCTTCGATTGGTCACGCCATCCGTGTGTGAGGATCCATTCTTTTTTTCAGTTCTTGTACTTCAGCTTCGCTCAGCTGTACTCCTCATGTTCAATTAGAATAATATCCAGGGATTCTTTGTCAGCTGACTGATGCACCTCCAGTAAAAATAAGTCCTCGTTGCAGTAGAACTTGAGCATGTCGTCATCAATTTTGGCCATAATCCTGAAATCAGAAATTAACATTTTTATTGGATGTCAGTCGATATTGATATTTTTCACTTTTATCAGTTACTTGTACTTTAACTAGTATCGATAATCATCGAGATCAAATATTTTACTCTTATTGGGCTTTGGCAATCAAAGCTTAATATTACGGTGTGAGGTTTAGTTTGATAGCACACTTTACTGCGAGGAATTCTGCATCAAGTCCCCTGGCTTAAGAAAAGGGAAATCAGTACAGCTGGTTTCCACAATGAGACTGATAAATGCTGAGAAATTAAGCAAAAATGGATACAGTGAGCTATAAGCAGAAAAACCTTAACTCGACCAATAATGATGAGTCGCTCCTCTACGTTGAGATTTTAAACAATGAGTCTAGGAGTCTTAAGTCAAGAGTGACTCATATTTCGTTGTTCCCCTCACGAAAGAACGTAACTACATTTCTATGTTGCCAAATTTCCTGTAGAAAATTGCATTTTTACTCACAGAAATTTGGGCTTTTCTAACTGAAATTTTCACTGATTTTTATTCGGATTTAATGCAAAAATCAGGAAACATTTTCAACAAAAATTGCACAGGTTAATCTTATTAAATATTAAATTCTTTGAGCCAGTTTTGCAACCTTGGAATGCAGTTCCGTTCTTTCGTCCAGGGAATGACAATTTGAGGGGCTTGGAGAGCAAGGCGCATGAAAATAGTTCCTTAAAAAAATTGCTATGTTAGTGACTGCAACTACAACCAGTCTTGAAATATGCTCTGTGAGAACTTCACCAGTGAAATTAAATTTTTAAGCAGGCATTAAAATTCGAGTCTGAACTTCCTTTCCACCATAAAGGCTCTGCGTAATTTTCAAACTTTAAACAATTATTTCTCTATATTGCAAGAACTTACGCGCCTTGTCCTACAAGCCCTTCATTCAACTTCATCTAGCAAAAGAGATTAATCTGCATTGGAAACACACACACTCACAACGAAAATCTAATATATCTAGAATAGATTACTGGATGGTAGTTTGAGAGGATTTTGAAGAATATGATAAATTGCTATTTTCGAGATCCCTTCACAAAGAATATTGAGGAAAACGAATCTGCCTACTGAAGGCATAACATCAATAGACTAATTATACTGGGTGGCAAATAACTGAGAACCCTTTTCGCAACTTTCATACACAGTGGCGTGGCGTGCTTTGCGACACATCGATTGATCTGCCACTTAAACCTGTAGAAAAGGATCTATATACAGGATGTTCGCAGCAAACGCCTTATTAATCGATTTTTTACCATAATTTCAAATAGGAAAAAATCGAAAATCGATCATTCACATCGCGCCTCTGATCATAATACTTCGTCAACCTTTCTGTTTTAAAACCCCGATTGTACTTGCAGTTTTTATATTGTTAAATTTCGACACGTATGAGTTTCGCGGCTCTACATTATGTGCACTGAGCTTAGTTTTAAGAATTAAACATTTCCTAACATTTTAACGAGACTTTCAGACAAATAGAACACACAATGATATCAACACTTTTGAAATTGATAAAAATAACATATCTCGTGGGTATGTTGGTTGAACAAACCCTTCAGTCTACGATATTTATTGCAAGCCTCAACAATCCTGAATGATTTCGGAATGAATTAAATTGATCCAATCTAATGTAACCTGGCTAACCTCTCTTAAAGCCTATGCTTAAGTCTGGGCCTCCATGAACAGAGTGGCTTTAAGTAATGACAGAACGAATAAATGCATGCGTGATATCTCAAATACCCGGACTTCCGAACTACGTTCTCATTAAGGACGTATTACAGACTTTTTTAAGTACAAATATTTAAGGGTTTTCTCTCTATTTTTTTTGCTTTGATTTTGGGAGGACGGCTAAAGAACAGATCTTTGGGCGACCTTAATTATGTTCCTTTTTGTAACCTCTAAAATCGCTAGGACCGAAAAAGCTAAGTAGGGATAGTGACCCACTCCAAAAAAAATACCTGCATAATTATTATAAAATGGACGCATTTCTGCCAAACGGAACTGTGTGCACTAAGGCATGAGCCTTGAGACCCATAAGAATATATGCATAACAGGGCTCACGTCATGATGCACATAGTTCCGTTTGACAGGAATACGTCCAAATAAGTATCCCGTGCAATCGAACACCATGAGGGTACCCACCAACCGAGCAATAGTTAGAGTATTAATCAAAGTCCCGTTTTTTTAATATGTTAGTTGAGTATGAAACAGTGGATTAAGTACTTATTCCTTTGAAAAATGGGTGGGTGAAGTGCGTTGGATGAGAATTGAAGTCTTCTGTGCGGATACAATGCAAGGTGCGAGATATTGTAAAACAATTTTAACCACGAAATACGTCAAACCATAATTTTGTTCCCCGGAAATTCGTCATACCGTAGAGATTATCTCCCACCTCCCGCTACTTTTTGAAACACATTTTCCCTACTAGTTCATCCCTCTTCCAACATACTATTGCCCATTATCTACTATCCGTATGATTTCAGGAACTATACAATACTCTAAAAATGACAAGTAATGTGTCAGTCATCCGAGGCTACGTTTTATTTTTCAATTAAGTTTTGTCTTATTTTTCGTTTTCCTTTATTTAAATTCTCTGCAACTCATCCAAAACATATTTGTTCCTCAGTTTCCTTGTGTGTGCGCTCTCTAAAATATGACTCTATTTTGATCAGATGATTCAAGGAAAAGGTACACAAAAACTGTCGTATCTTGATATGAGGACGACTAAAGGTAAATTAAGAATGACTTAGGGTATACAAATAAATTAAACTAAAGATAAAATGGTGCATAATACTGGCTATGACATATTTAACTGCAGCATCAGACTACTTTTCAAATACAACATCGAGTACCTATGTTTCAGCCTGACTTTGAAAACAACGTTTTAAGCTTTTTAAAATGTATCAGTATTTACCATGGCTGTTTCGTGAATTGAGTGCATTTGTGCTAAAAGTAACTATGTTGCATGTAAACCCAATGTACATAGTTCCTTTTAGCATAACTACGTCCAAATATGAAACGAGGATCAAAGGTGAACAACTCTTCAAAAACTCATAATTTGACCTCCCTTATCGCCATGTGAAAAGCTTATTTGAGTTTTGTTTTTCATTCTCGACGAAGTTACGTTAAGGAGGGTAGACGAGTTATGTTCAAAATCAGGCGTACATGATTATATTTTACTATGAAACTCATTGCGGCCAAGGAACGGGAAAGCAGTCACGGGTCAACACTTCATTGCTTCAACCAAAACGCATGCATAATTCCGTAGAAATAGAAGGCAGAGGATAATAGTACAATTGGCAACAGCTAATACACTTTGATGTTTCCTCTTTGTTCCGAATAATGGTGAAAAAGCTGTCTGACTTTCCGACAGTTTCAAGCGTTTATCGCTCTATTTGATTTTTCGAATTAATTCTGTCCGTTAAGTCGGTTGGGTTCGTTGGTTTTACGAGAGAGGAAATTATTTTGAACAAGACTTACCCTTTTTTGCTTTTTCGAAACAAGTTACTAATTCTGGAGCTAGAAATTTTGTATTTACTCTCAATCTGTAAAATCAAAACGAACAAAATTAATACTTTTCCTTGTATTAAGTAAAAATTTTGTTTTGCTCCCCCATTTAAGTTTTAGAATTGTTCCAAGTTTTTATCTCCTACTCCGTTATTGGGATGATGTTCCTTTTCGTCTTCGGTAAAAACTTGAGCGAAGTAGCCCCACAAGGGGTCTGTTTTGAATGGAATGTATCGTAAAATGTGATGGTATTAGGTCCAGAAGAGAAGTTTGGTTTTGGTAGGTGACAGTGTTGCCAAATATTTTGAAAAGTGTCATTTTTAAACACGAGAACTGCCTGAAACTATTTGATTTTAACTCATCCCGAGGTCTTCTCAAAAGATTGGCAAAAGGCTGCAAAGCGAAAGAAAGTAAGATCGAGATGATTACTAGAAAGCAGGAATTTGTTGGAGGCGGAAGGGAAAATTCGATTAGAAGCAAAAGGCAAACAGCGCAAATATAATGGTGAACAGTGAGTGTGTTCTCACGAAAGCACGTTAAGAGGTGGTATTCCTTATTTCTTTGAAACTCTTCAAATCTCAAACATGGGAAACATTCTTTAACTCTATAAACGACATGGAATTGCGCAACTTTCTTTTTATCGAGTCTAACAGCAGTGGAGGATTCAAAAGCTGACGGCAGTGGCAACGCGAAGGTATTAGCGAAAGCATGCTTGTTAGTAATTGAAAAAGCTATATTATAGGCACAGAGCGACCACTTACCAGAGGCTGAAGCAAGCAGCATACAAAGTAAGCAAACAAAACGATTTACATTTGTCCGTTAAATCCAATTGGTCTGAAGGAAAAGCACAAGTTAATAAGGCAAAGATGATAATGCTCCCTTGTAATATTTACATGATTTTCCATTCATGCGAAAGACAATGTAGTTCCACGATTGTAGTGTGATACTAAATTTATTAACGAGATTCTACATCCATCTTTTTTTTTTGGGGGGGGGGGTGGTTGATACAATTTAGCCGTCCTTCCAGGGAATTAATTATTCTCTCTATGGGGGTTGTTGATTGCTGGCATATATCTGGCGTGAATGGATGAAGGAAGTTCTTCCAATCCTTTCTTTGGTACCAGAGATGTAAGGAATAAAGTTTGGGGCAGGAGAGAGACATCTAAACAGAGCGTTTTCCCCCTCAATCTGTATTTCCAAAAATTTTGAGTGACCGATCGATTTTTATAAAATCCATTTATCTTTATATTCAGCTGACTTCCTCTGACTTGAAAACAACTTCAAAAGCTCTGAAATATGGGTTTAATATTTGCTAATGGTCTTGTGCGTAATATTTTAAGCTCACAGAAACGAGACACCCTTTAACGCGTATAGATACGGGAACCATTTCTCATTTTGTTAGAGTAACTTGATACAGAGTATCGACGTAAGGCGGCCACTTTCTTAAGCTTCATGGAGCACTTAGGACCCAAAAATGACAGATGTTTGAGAGGAGGACTTTAAATGTGGTTTCATTTGCAAACAGCAGCGCAACGGGAACTTCACTCAAATGCTTTTTAAGACGTGTTTACATAGTTTTAAGACCAATCGTGTGCTGTCTTAGAGAAAAATCATCTTTGATATTGTAAAGTTGGCAGCGGGTGCGGCTGGTGATAACCGTCAACAGTTGGCAACCCCCCCCCTCCCATCATCTATTATCAAAACGATTTTGGGGCTATTTTTGGGTCCTAAGGCCTCCATGGAAAGTGGAGGAGCATCATTTCTACACTCTCTCTCTAACAAGTTACCCTAAATTGTGTTACTGTCACGATATTATACCTAAATGTGATTCAAAAAGTACAAAGTTTGGCTGATATCGTATTCGCTTCGGTTTTGTATTATTTAATGCACTTCAAGAAGTTTTCTCGGGAGAAAAAAAAACTGAGAAAACCTTTTTCATTACCGAGAGTTTTGCTAGAATATCTGTCTTTTGAAGATGAATTACACTTCAAAATTTCTTTAATAAATAAAGAGTAACCTGCCGATGTAAAATTATTGATAATTGACTATTGCTTCGAGCAATTCTTCAAAATGCTTCCTCATTTTGTTTTGATATACTTATGTTATCTTATGAAAGACTTCCTTGAGATACACCAAGCTGACAAAAACAAAATCCGAACTCTCCAACACTTAATGCACAGACCGAAGGCTTTTAAATTTAACATGAAGTGGCGCATAACGTTATCGAAAATGGCTGCTGCCTTCTAAACTCTATCTTAATTACCAATTCGAGTGTATAACATCTCTTTACTGAAATAATTTTGTTTCAGACTCAGATCTTGGTTTGAAGGAAAAAGACTAAAAGGTTTTTGAATAAACCTGCCTATAGGATAGATTCATCGATGAGCACTTCTTCCAATGAAGCCTCTTTTGGAGCATCGGAATACGCTTATTTTCATATCCGTGCGTTTAAGTCACTGAAGTAATTCATTCCCTAAAAACACAGCAGTAGCCTTACTATGTTTTTAGTTTGACACTGGTGATGTATTTTGGCATATATTGATGAGAAACATGGCATCATACTGACTGAACTAGGTATTTCTAAATATTTACTCATGATTCAAACTATTTGAACAGAATATCCTCATCCTCGCTAATATTTTGCGTCTTATTGTATATCGCATTAATTCGGCCAAAAGCAGCAACTTCAAAAATTTTACTAAAGAATGGATACCTTCTCATAAAAAAAATCTTTGAGTTGATTTCAGTTTGATTGCTAAAGTAATGCCACGATTTGTCACTTTCTAAACAATAATAACGGTAACTACATTTAAACGTAGCAAAATAATCGCTCGTGAATTGTACTTTCGCAGGGAAGTTATTCGGCGATTATTTTTACAAAAAAATTCACCGCTTTTCTTCTGGTTACGAGTAAAAATCGGCATTTCGAAAAGAAACTACGAAGTCATCTTCTTGTAAAAAATTGAGTTGTTCGAGTCAATTTTGTACCCTTTGGGTGGAGCTTTTTACATCATTTTGGAACGGACGAATTGGCGACAATAGTTCTCTTTTTGAGACCCAAATTTAAAGATACGACACACATCGAGGTATGGTGGGAAAAATAATTACAGCATAAATTTCAGTTTTTTGGGGGAATGTAAAAGTTGGCGAAGCAATAAAGATAATAAGATTACACCTCACCCGCTTCCCTGACCAAATTTTCAAAAATGGCACCACTGTAACCTCCTTTGAAGTTTTCATTTCATTGAAGATTTTGATTTGAATTTGAATACCTAAAATTGGCATTGACTAGAATGTTTTCTCCCGCAACAAGATAACTTCCTATAATTTCCGAATTATTAATTGCACATTGATTGAAAATTCGCTTCCATATCGCAGTGGTACCAACTACCAAGGTCTCGTGTCTAGACCCCCGTGCGGATGGGAGACCCTCGTTGTGTCCCGTCAAATGTTACTCTGTCCTCGAAAAAAAACCGCTGGCAAGGGTCAGTTTCCCGAGAGTAAAAATCGCGTTCTGCTTGTAAAATCTTATGGGCGAGTAATTTTTGGGGCGACTAATCCATGTGACACCACACCCAAAGCCTCAGAGTTTTTTTTTTTTTTTTCGAAAATCAATCTTGGTCTACTGACTTACCTTTTCAAACGAGCTATCGTTAAATCTAGATCGCCCCTTGCAAATGTCCTAATGACTCACAGAAGAGAGTTCTTTCGTCCTGGCACATCTTAGTATTCTCAGTGCGTAAAATTATCATAATTAGCCATGTTACTTTTTCGCGTGCTTCGTTCGGTTAGGCACCGGGTACCTACATCACTCATATCGGTTGCTGTTTACTAATATATCAGTGTGAGGGAAAGGGGTGAGGAACAGCAGATTTAGTAACACGTGATTGAAGCTCGGGTTCAGGGCGGGCAAATCTTGGTTACGGTATCTCCAAATCCCCGCTTAAGTTTTATCCGTTATGATCGAAGCAAATGTATCCGATTCGTTGTGACTTTTTCTGAATATTCTTTATGATTTTACAATACTGGAAACGAAAAATTTCAGAAAGTTCGCCCAATAGATTCCTCTATAATGGATGAATTAGCTCTGAAGATTCTGAAACACCGCAACCTAGGAATGATCTTCCTGCACCCAACGCCTCGATTACGAGATGGCCGCACACACGTTTAATCAAAGGCGTGGCGTGAATTGCGATGTATCGATTGTTATGCCATTTAAACCTATGGAAAATGATCGATAAACAGAGTGTTCGCAGCGAACATCTTAATAATCGATTCTTTACCATAGGTTTAAATGGCATTACAATCGATACATCGCAATTCACGCCACGCCACTGCGTTTAGTCAAGTAAACAAAAAGGAACCAGTGACGAGGCGTGAATGATCAACTATCGATATTTCCCCATTTGAAGCTATGGTAAAGAATCGATTGTTAAGGTGTTCGTTGCGAGCACCCTGTTTATCGATCCTTCTTCATAGGTTCAAATGGCAGATCAATCGATATATCGCAAAGCACGCCACGCCCCTGAAAGACACTAGAATAGCTACATACGGGAGAGTATTGCCATCCCTGTTCCGCTCTTTGATTGGTTCATTAGTTTTAGGCTTCACGGGGTCCCAAAGTTGTCCCAATGTAAACAAACTTTTCCATAACCCACACGCGCATGAGATGAATTTTAGGTCAATCTTCCTCTCCTCGTGCGACTTGTATGTTTCTTATGGAACTAACCTCCGCAACCTTACCTCAATTGGACGTATTTCTGTCAAACGGAACTAAGCGCCATCGGAGGAGGAAGGTAGAGGGGGACTTGGATTGGCGTTGGAATCGGGCGTCGGGCTCACTCCGTCCTATACTCGCAATGCTTTTCCATGGCGCTTAGTTCCGTTTGACAGAACGCGCTATCCGGCATTCTAAATTCCTCAAAAGGAACTCAATTTGGCGCTTAGTTCCGTTTGACAGAAATACGTCCAATTCATTGTTTACATTGGGCAAACTTTTGGGGCTCCGATGATAGTCAAAAACTCGCCGACCAATCAGAGAGAGGCGAACTTTTTCTCTTGTAAAAGGATCGAAATGGCAATACTCTCCCGTATGTGGGTACTCTAAAAGAAACGGGAAGAGGAAAACAGGTCATGCATACTTTTGGAGGAAATTGTATTTTAGCTATGGTGGAATACTGTTGAAATGGGTAGCGAAATGAGTGGAAGATGATTTACTTACAGCGTTGAGAAGACCTTGCACTGACGGAGGGACAACATGCAGAGGTGTGTAGACATCGTCTGCATCTTGGCGGACGTAGAGCATGACTCTCTCGTTTATCGGAGGAATGATTTTCGGTCGCTTGTGCGGGGGACTCGTGAAGACGTTGCCGTCCGTCGTCAGACCGCTGTCAAGATCCTTCTTATCGCTGCAAGGAGAGAAATTATAACTGTTGATCAAACACAATTAACTGCGTCTTAAACTGAGGATTGTGGACATAGTATCAAAATCGAATAACAATAGTACGAAAAAAAGTTGCGGGCTGTACGGCATACCTAGAGTCCCTTTATACTAAGAGTCAAGACAATTCGGCTCATGGATGTCACAAACGAGAATAAAGATTACAGAAATTGAACGTTTTTCGTAATCTTTGATCGGCCCATTCTCAAATGCCTTTCTCCGTTCCTCCTCTCATTCCGTTTGTTCCTTGCCGAACCCGTAATTCCCTGGTCCATTCCAGATTATAATCTTTGCAATTGGTGAAAATGTAATCTTTATTCCCGTTTGTGACACTGTGGAGGCCTAAAATACGGGAACCAATCAGAAATGGATTCAAATTGTCTTCACTTTCAGTATAAAGGGACTCTAGGCATACCGTCCTGTCCGGGCTCAGAGGCCGAAAGTTTCGGATGCTGGAGCCGTAGGTTCGATTGCTCCGGGTGCTGCGCCCGGACCTTCCGGCCTCCGAACCGGAATGGTATGGAGTAGAGTCCCTTTATACTGAGAGTCAAGAAAATGTGAATCCATTTCTGATTGGTTCCCGTATTTTAGGCCTTCACAGTGTCACAAACGGGAATAAAGATTACGTTTTCATCGATTGTAAAGATTATAATCTCGAATGGACCAGGGAATTACGGGTTCGGCAAGGAACAAACGGAATGAGAGAAGGAACGGAGAAAGGGATTTGAGAATGGGCCGATCAAAGATTACGAAATACGTTCAATTTGTGTAATCTTTATTCCCGTTTGTGACTCCATGTGGGGGTGTTGTCTTGACTCTCAGTATAAAAGGACTCTAGTATGGAGAAGAGATTTTGAGACACTGCAATGGAAATACGTGCGGTTTCGTACTTGGATTTTTTTTTTTTCAAGAAATGTTTTAAGTCACGTTCGGTTGCTTCATATAATCCATGGTTTTTTTATTTCGTGTGCTTCAGGTTCTACTTACGACCTGTGCCCAAAACTTAACAGTTGCTAATCTTAGAAAAGGTAACTTAGATAGAAGATATTTAAGGAATGCGTTAGCACACATACACTATCATGATGAGTTGATAACGCACTCATAATGAAAAGTTTATCGACAAATATTATTTCAGCGAATAAAAATTAATAAAAATTGTGAAATTCTGAAAAAACTTGGGCTACTGGGATGAAAAGGGGAGATAATCAGTGGGAGGGGGAGAATCTTACCTGTGCGTATCTGGAGGAAAATGATTGTGGAACTTAAGAGTTTGAGTGGGCGTTGAGCCTTGGATCTTCCCAGCACCATGGACTAAAAATGGAGAGTGTTTCAGAGGGCCTGATTCGCCATTTGATAAACTATTGAAAAAAAGAAAGTCCGATTAGTGATATTTGAAAGATAAATTACACAAAAGTTATGAGCAATTTATCTCTTTGCATGCGAAAATTTGAATAGTCAGAAATACTTAAGATTCACTGGAAAAAAAAAACACATTGGATCTAGAGTCCGGACTCTTGAAAACATTGACAAAAAAAAAATACTCTTGATTCAATCAGATTTTAACTTAAATCAGATTTTAGCTTAGATTTTAGAAAATCCGCTCAAATTAATAGGGTTGGTTCTTAATTAAATCAAAAATCCGATTGAATCAAGAGTATTTTATCTTGTCGATGTTTTTAAGAGTCTGGACTCTAGATCCAATGTGTTCTTTTTCTAGTGTCCGTTACTATATAAGTGACTTTAATAAAAAAACTGGAATATTTTATAGATAACATGTATACATTGAAATATTCTAGCATCAAATGCACTCTAATATAATGTACAAACTCCATGTAATGTGTTTGTATTCGAGACCACCGAATACCTATTAATATTTTAACGGCTACTAAGTGTGCAAAATACTCGTGAATTTTTCACTTTAATATTGGTATATTTTACATCTCAATACATCAAAATGTTTTGGTTTCTGTACAGTTCTCAATGAGTGTTGGGAACATCAATCATTCAGCTGCAGAGAAGTTTATACGTTTCAATTTAAATAAAATATAAAGAACAAATAGTTTACCTAGATGTATCAGTTTCATGTCCGTAAAAGCCTTGTAGTTCCATTGAGGTGAGCTGTAAAAGAAGAAGAACAAAAAGAATTAGAATTAGTTTGACTTCACTTTTGTAAATGAGAGGCAACTTACAAAATATTGGAAAACAACATGAAAAAAGTCCACGCAAACAACTCTCAAAGGTATAAATGAGGAGGTCGTAAAAACATATTTCGATATTCCTTTCCTCACCCAGCGTTCAAGTCTCCAAGGAAGAAAATTTGCATCAAGTATAAACGCAGCGCCTACATACCATGATGAAAGTATGCTGTAAATGCTAATTGCCAATATTTCATCTACGTGTTTTAGTTTTGAAATTAACATCCGAAAATATTTTTCGGAGTTTAAAAAAAAAAAAAAAATCTATGCTATTCTTTACAACGACCAGACCAGAAACTAAAAATGGATCATTACCGCGTAAAATCCACATCAAATGAGTTTACGCACTTTTGGACTGCGACAAGATCCACCATTTTGAATTTTCCATTTGTTTTACATGTAAAAGTGACGTCAGGCAATCTCCTGTCGCAGTCTAGATGTGCGTAAACTTATTTGCCGTGGATTCTACCACACTGGAAAAAAAACACATTGTATGTAGAGTCCAGACTCTTAAAAACATCGACAAGAGAAAGTACTCTTGATTCAATCAGAATCTAGCTTAAATCAAGAACCAAGCCTCTTAATTTAAGCGGATTTCGTTTTGATTCAAGCAAAAATCCGATTGAATCAAGAGTATTTTTTTTTGTCAATGTTTTCAAGAGTCTGGACTCTAGATCTAATGTGTTTTTTTTCCAGTGCACGTTATTTCGTTGCCTTGGTTGATTACTCCTATGTAAATTAGGAGCTTGAGATGTAATGATATCCCTATGTTTGATCAAAATCTTCTACCACCCTTTGAAACAAAGTATCACACTGTTAAAAATACTGTTTCGATACGGATTTACTGTGAATTAAACTTCTCTTACCTTATCAATGTCTTCCGCTGGCGTAAATAGGACAGGAGGTTTGGTGGTATCGCTCATCGTATAAAACTCTGATCGTTCAGCAGGTGGATGATACAATTCGTCTATTTTTTTCCTTCCAGTTGCAGTCATTTTCCTTTTTGCTGCTCTTCTCTCTTCATCCCGCGTTTTCCTTTCAGCACCCTGAAACATAGGAAATACGAGGGAAAATTATGAAATTGTACCATGTCACTTTTGGAGATCCTACGTCATATTAATAGACGATGCTGATAGATTTATATGAATTTCAGGTGTTGTTGGACCACTATTTATTTAAGGTTTCCATTCCTACAAGATATTCGACTTAAGATATGGTAAAATTCACCCAAAAAGGTCATATCTTTGAGAGGGGATTGGGGAGAGGGGCTCTTTAAAACAGTTGAAAATTCCCGTAAGGTCTGCTTCTACACTATGTGAGTGCTATATTTTTTTGGCATTGGAAGTTTTAAAACTTTTTTGATGCCTGAGAAGATAAATTAAATCACGGTAAGGGTAAAAAGTCTGTAAGCACACTTCATGATTCAAAAGAGAAGTGCAGACTAACAAAGATATCGGAGCTACGTGAGAAATATTATTCGCCGTGCAAACTGCCAAGCAGAACGCTGTATGGGTGTTCAGACAATGCCAAATTTCCTCTGATAAGATACGAATTTTCAGAAAAACTTGTAAATATTTTTCATCTACTGTTCTCTGCGGGACTCCCTTGACGTTGATCTAAATACAGAGTGGCCTCATCTAGGGCCAACTCTGCCGTGCTAAGGAAGAACGCCGTATGAACATTCGAGAGTTGCCAAGTTTCCTCCGATAAAATGTTTATTTTTGAGGAAAGCAGTGAATATTTTTCCTTGAAATTTTCAGAAACTTCGGGTGATATTGTGAACAAAATTACGTGAAGAATTGGAAGAAAAATATTGGCAAATTTTCCCGAGAGTTCGTGATTTACCAAAGGAAATTTGGCAACGCCTGAAGGTTCATACGGCGTTCTTCCTTAGCTCGGCAGAACTCATATCAGGAGCCGCAAAAATCATAGAGATCGGCCCGATAGAACGATCAAACAAACTTTGACGAAAAGTGAAAATTTAAGAGGGTCAGCGAGTTAGGGTAATGATGAAAATGTGTGAGAAATGCAGGTATAGTAAGCTTACCTTATCGCAAAATACTTTAATCTGGCAATAGCCTCTATGGAAAACTGGGCCATCTCGAGGATCCTCATAAGTATCTATTTGAAGATGTAATGGTAAACCCTGAAATCAAAAAAGACATTAAAAATTTAGAGAATATATGGTCTCAGAGCATAAAACTAAAAAAAATATACTGATCAAATTTTAGAACTGATTGAAAATAGAGACAGTAACGTGCCCTCACTTAAAAAATCAATCAATCGTGCTTCCGGCTCTTGTAAGAAATTGAATGGAAAGTAACCTTGAGCCGTTGTCAATTTTAAGTTCTGCCTGTTGATTCATTCCTCTCTCCAAAGAATTCAGTCTTCGTTGAACGGCTTAGTATTTTTCGGATTAACTAAGGCATTTCCTGATCCACATCGAATTTTTTTACAGCCTCAAGTCATACTAGACTCTCAAAATAAACCGGTGGTATTTTGAGAATATAACAAGCAAGTGGTTGAAATGTTAAAAATAAATTCTCAACTTATTAATGATGCAGACTTAAAAAACAATGAAAGGAAAAATGCGCGAACCTATCATATTCAGGTGACATTATCAAAATTATAATTTAAGTATACTTAAAAGCACAATCGTAAATTTAAAATTATTTTATTAAAATATGTCACAATATTTTCTTGTTCTTGAGTTGCCGTTTGACGACCGACACAAACACGACGGAAGAGCCATCCGAAGCCCTCCACGAGGACAAGTGTCTTCGAGCTGAGATTAATATAAAAATTTAAGATTACATCTAATAAATAAAAAATTTCGTTTCTTGTTGACAAAGCCCCACATATGAGACGACAATACATCTCCTGGATCATAGCTCTGCCGTGCTAAGGAAAAACGCCGTATGAACCTTCAGGCGTTGCCAAATTCCATTCGATAAAACACTAATTTCTTTGTAAACAGTAGCGTGGCGTGAATTGCGATGTATCGATTGTTATGCTATTTAAACCTATGGTAAAGAGTCGATTATTAAGGTGTTCGCTGCGAACACCCTGTTTATCGATCCTTTTCTATAGGTTTAAATGGACTGCATTTTGCAATTTGGAGCTATAAATTCTGTCTCATCTGAAGAAACACGTACGTGCATAAGGAAACTAATGACACATACGTTGTTTTTAAACCGGGCCAGAATTTATAGTTCCGAATTGCAAAATGCAGTCCAAATGACAGATCAATCGATATATCGCAAAGCACGCCACGCCACTGCAGTTGTAAACTTATGAATATTTCCCTTTCAATTTTTCGGCTGATTTTGTTCCCAATTTCACCTGAAGTTCCTGAAAATCTCAAGGAAAACTATTCACAACATTCCCCAAAAATAAGCATTTTATCGAAGGAAATCTGGCAACTCTTGAATGTTCATACGGCGTTCTTCCTCAGCACGCCAGAGCGCCTCAGATGAAGTCGGTCGGTAAAATTCGGCGTCCAAGTTGCACTGATACAAATTATCACCGCTTGGACGTTACAGGCATGCGTGCATCCGAGCCGAGGCCGCGATGTAAAAGTTTCTGTTTTCGTTTATTTATGTCCAAATAAGTGAGGCTGGTATTGTTTTAACAATGTTATATTTTCTACGGTTGACAATAAGGACACTCAAAAGAGTTTAATAACTCGGTCGGCCCGCTCGGTTCCTTCCTTATCGCATTCGGAGCGGGCACAGAATTTCTGGGAACCGGTTCCCTCACACTCCGAGAATATTTATGGTGACATCTCATAAGAATGGGAAACACCGAGCCCGGCCGTTTTATTTTAAACGTCTGCTTGATTCACTTTAAAGTGGGAAATTACGCAACTTGAGTTATTACTCTCTAGTCTGATTTAATTAGAACAGTAGGTCACACGACAAGGCCGAAATTATGACCGGCAGAAATATGAATATTCCTTGCGACATAATCCGAGGAAAACGGGTGCGGTCAATGAAAAATTTCAAAAATCAACGAATCTCCGCGAGTCCTTGGTCGGTTGAAAAATAAATGGGTATTAATAAACATTCCGAGGTTCTCAGAAACATCTGCTCATGTGACTAGACAAAGGAAGGACCTGCACGAAATTCCCTTCCGTTTCCGAGACTACGAATTCTTCGGAATCTTCGAGCTATCGTGATGACTAAATGATTCGAGCAATTAAAAGATAAATTAATTGTCGAATTAATTTTTAACAGGCGCTAGTACTTCATCGAAACAATTTTCTGGATTGAAACTTGAAAGATGTTTAGAGCTTGTATTAGACATATATGGTTTGGGAGTTCTTTTTGAAAGCATAATTTAAGTTTTTCCCGACCTATAGAAGAAATACAGAGTAGCATTAATGGCAAATCTCGGTATCAATCGAATCATATATCAAGCACTTAGGTTCATTCGAACATCAATCCTCCGATATAAGTACGAATTTATAAAGAACTTTATAAGAAAGATAAGTACGTAGGAGAATGTTGAAGATATACTTACTTTTACACCTTTTTGGCTACTGAAGTCTGTACTCAAACATTGAACAGCTACATTAATCTGAAACAAATGATGCAAACTAAAGTTACTAAAGGCTGTTTACAGATTAATTAAAATGAGAGTGATAAATCCTATAATTAAAAATTATCAAAATGATAGATAAGATTCTTGAGTGTAATAAGAGGATTGCTAAAAGTGTGTTCATAAAAAAACGGACCAAAAGAGAACAATAATGAGAAATGGAAACGAAGCCCGCTTATCATGTCGAATGTTTTAGTTGTATAAATCAAATTTTTGGGTAAGAAGGTGCCCTGCTAGTTCAAAATGGTCGACAAAATTTTCTACCCGTTTCAGGGCACACAGTAGACTTTCCCGAACAGAAATTTTATAAATTTGATATTTGCGTGCAATCAGAAGAAAAATTGGCGAAACTTTATCTGAAAAGTCCTCAAAGTTTCCTGGTAAAAATATAATTGACCATGGGAATTTTGCGACCTTCATCTGAGGGGCTTGGAGGACAAGGCACATGAGTTCAGTTTTCTAAAAAAAATTGATCTATAAATGATTTTAAGTAAGACTAGTCTTAATGTTCATTCCGTGGAAACTTGCTTCCAAATTCCAATTTTTAACTTCTAAAAGTCAGTTTGAACTTTCTTTCCGCCATAAGGATCCATGCGTCGTTTCGAAACCTCAAACGCATATTTCTCGAAACAGCAAAAACTGCACTTATGCGCCTTGTCCTCCAAGCCCCTCTGGCGAAGTTCGTTCCTTCGTCTGGAAAACGACGGATTCTGCCGACAAACCGACCCGGGACCAACCAAGAAGGAGCAGACGTTTCCTCATCCCTAAAAACTCGGTTCCTTCCTCGAACACGCTCCGATTCGGACGATAATACCCAGCGAAGGCAAGTTCGGGGCCTTATCGCCCGGGGGCCCCTAAGTCAGAGGAGATAAATCCTTAAAAGTCCACATTTAAATATTTGAACGGCAATAAATGAGAGGCATTTTGATCCGTGAGCCAAGCAGCGCTAACCGCTAGATCTCTATCTTCCAGAGTTGCCCTGTTGACAGAGCTGGAGCCTCGTCGGTAATGGGCGGAAAAAGGGATAGAGGCAGAGGAGGATGATTTACTTAAGGTAATGATTAGTTAGGCTTGTTGCGGGGAACGAGTCGATGACAAGTTCATTTGCAGCTCAAAGGCAGCAGGAATAGGTGGTCGGCATCGGTGAGACGGCCAACAATGAGCTCTACATGTGCGAGTACAAAACGCAAAGGCGCAGCGGACAGCAGATGTACTCCTCGTCGTTGAAAGGAAACAAGTCGATTCTCTTAAGAGCCCCGGAAATCGAAAGAACACCTATATTACAGGGCTCATCATGATGCGTGCATGCCCCGTTTCAACAAGGTACCTCCCCGTAAAAAGTAACAAGTCTATTCTGAAGATGAGCTCTGGAGTGCCTAAGAGTGTACCGTTCTAGGGTTCACCTGGATCGCGGTAATGGGTCGGGTGTCGGGATAATGCGGCGCGACGACGGCGGCGAAACTCGCGACAGGTACGAGGGCAGACACGCACGCTGGCGGTGGGGCCTGCCCGGGCAGCGAACAGCACAAAGGAACTGATTGTGCGTATAAGAATCCCATTCAGAACTAGGAGTTCCGCGCCGGGCCCGCCGCGGATCAAATGAAGCGTTCATTAATTAAGAGATATTCCCCGGACAGACGGAGCTGTTTAAGCGCCATCTGGCAGCGCAGTGGCGAGTTAAAGCGCTCGCGAATCCGGTGCGCCGGCCATTGTCCACCGGGGGCCTCACCCGGTAACTCCGGATGACCGCTCGCCGCTCGCCGCTCGATGACCATCGCGGAAAAAAATGAACTGTGCCTGCGGCACACTGCGGTGCGTGAACTTATCGTGGTCTTCTGTGCCGGGCTAAGGAAGAACGCCGTATGCGCCACCAGACGTTGCCACACCGAAAAGAAAGAGGTGCTGTAGTAACATCCTGGATGTTAAAAAAATTTCGACAACTCTCGGATGTTGTCATTACCGCTCTGGCTGTTGAAGTAACATCCTAGGATGTTACTTTTACATCCTATCATGCTACGTTAACTGCCAGAGTATGCCAGTGACATCCTGGATGTTAAAAAGAGTTGCGACAACTCTTGGATGTTGTCATTACCGCTCTGGCTGTTAAAGTAACATCCTAGGGTGTTACTTTTACATCCTATTACGCTACGTTAACTTCCAGGGTGTTAATGGCAACATCCAAGAGTTGTCGCACATTTTTCAACAACCGCAACATCCGGGATGTTACTACAGCATCTTTTTTTTCGGTGCAAATTTCCTTCGACAAATTACGAATTTCTGGAACATTTGTGAATATTTCTATGTCGATATTTCCGAGGATTTCGTTCGTAATTTAACCTTAGAAGACTGAAAATTTTATGGAAAAATATTCGTCACTTTCATCAGGAATAGATCTTTTCTGAGAGGAGATTTGGCAACATTTGAATGCCCATTCGGCGCTTTTACTTAACGCGGCAGTCCTGTACCCACGTTAATCGTTACCTGTGTTTCGCATCTAGATAGTTATGTTGTTCACATCGGTGCAATTAGGTCTATCGATGCAAGTGACACAGCGAGCTAAACGAGGAACATAGTAGCTAGAATTCCGCTCCGCATGATGATTACAATCCAGAGATAAAGCAATAGACAAAGAGAAAACGGAGCGATCCTATTGGTGGAAGCGAGTGGTTGCGATGGATAGAGGAAGTAAGTAATTGACTGAGTAACGGCAACCCGCGAGAATAGTTTTTCCGCTTGTTCTAACGTACAACTACCTGTTTCAACCAATAGGATTGCTCCATTTTCTCTTTGTCTGTAGCTTTGTCTTTCAATTTCAATGATCAGCCCGCTGCCAAAGAGAGCAGGAAATACAAAAAAAAGATGTTTCTAGGAAATAAACGTGCCTAATACCGTCCGATCGAGGGTTTTAATGGACGAATCATATAAAATACGGTCCTCATTAAATGCATCAGAAATCATCCGATCAATCATCCAGCTGATTAGAAAACGAAGAATTGTACCTTTATCTATGTAAAGAGGGCATTCCTCATTCAGCCAAGACAGCAGTATGCGGTATCTTCTGCATGCTTGCGTGGTTATGGCTTGGGCAAACAGCAGACACATTTTAGGGCTAGAAATCGGAGGAATGGTCTGGATACACGCTCAAATTTCCGTCAATTTCCGATCAAAATGATGACAAAATTGAAGGTCAAATTTTTGCGGCCTGCAAAAATTTGATGGTAGATGGTGCGCACCAGTCATCATTTGATCGGAAATTGATGGAAATTCGAGTGTGTATCCAAGCCTGAAAATTAGGGGTATACCGTTTCGCCCAAGACAGCAACAAGCACAGCTCCTTTGAAAATTACTATACGGACTTACTGCTATCTTGGTTTGGAAGTATTTTTGAGGGTAGGTCCATTTGGCAAAACGGTTATTATAGGTAAAAGCATTTAAGGAAACTGACTATCTACAGGAGGATTGAAATATTTAGATAACTATGAAGCTTAATCGTGTCCCAAGTGGCTCTGTCAAGGCTCTTCCATCCCCCTTGACCTTCCAAATTTGAATCTTCTTGTACAGAATAAGTCACCAGTCCTAAATTATTGCGTGCGCACATACTTTTTTTAGTCTTTTATTCAAAAGTCCTGGTGTAGATACTTCCAAAGTGCCGAATGTCGTCCATTTTGCCTCCTCGGGTGTAGGGACGATGGAGGGTCAAAATGGGCGACCGCACTTCTCGTCCGTTAAAAACGTGAAGAAAAGGAGGAAAAGGGGTAAAAAATGTAAAAAAGTCAAGTCTACGAACCGGTGGGTGGGACCCGCCCCTCCTCTTTCAGACCTCTAAGATCGGCTCTCCTATAGCTACCGGCTACTTGGACCAAAAACTTTGCTGCTATCCATACGAACTAAAGTTCAGTCCTTGCACCCCAAGTTTTTCTTCGTTCCAGGCATTAAAACCTTGACCGAGCAGTGACCGCGATTTCCACCACGTCATCCGGAGGCAGTTGCAGACTCTCTCATCTCCTTACACCGCTAGGACGAACGCCATCGCACAGTTCGGACCTGTCCCTCCGACGACGCGAAGACACTCCAGTAACTACGATGGAAATACTATGCTGCCGTGCTAAGGAAAAGCGTCTTATGCGTCTTCATACGTTGCAATATTTCCTTCAATGAGAGCCGAATCAACTGGGGAAATTCTAAATATTTTTCCTTCCGTTTTTCAGGCAATTTCGTTCACATTTTCGTCTAAAACATCCAAAAATTTCACGGAAAAATATGCATATCTTTCCGCGAAAGTAAAGCTTTTATCGAAGGAAATTCGGCAAATCTCGAATGTCGATACGGCGTATTTCCTCAGGACGGCAATATGCAGATAAGCGTTTTCTGCTCGACAGGGGAGTAAGGGCCACCGCGTCGGGAGCGAGGCCCGAGGAAGCGGGAATCCATGCTGTCTGATTTAATGAAGCATTTCCGAGAAGTCGTCGCTCGGTCGTCGGTCGGAGCCTCGCAAGAGAAAATTAAATTGTCATACGAATAATTATTGCGAGCGACGTGACAATGATGATTAAAAGAGGATCCGCGGACGGAGGAGAGGCGATTCGCGAGGCGTGAATTATCGACTATCGATATTTTCCCATTTGAAGCTATGGTAAAGAATCGATTATCACGGCGTTCGTAGCGGACACCCCGTTTATCGATCCTTCTCCATAGGTTCGAACGGCAGATCAATCGATATGTATATATAGATGTATTGATATGTATATATAGATGTATCGATATGTATATATAGATGTATCGATATGTATATATATATTATTTTTTTTAACGAAAAAAATAATAAATAAAAATAAAGATATGTATATATAGATGTATCGATATGTATATATAGATATATCGATATGTATATATAGCTGTATCGATACCCGATGGGACGCCACGCCACGGATCCGCGCGGAAAAAGGAAAAGGGAGGCAGAAAACTAATAAGAGTCGAAAAGGAAGAGAGCGGAAACGGAGAGGGGGAAAGATCCGATGCCGAGGGAAAGAGCGAATAAGAAGAAGAAAGAGCGGGCGCGGCGCGGGGCAAGATAAGTCCGAGAAAAAAAGGACACATAAAAAGTATTGATTGTAAATAGCTGTGAGTATGCGAGGAGATTTTTAATGAAGCCGCTCCGTTCTCCCGGGCTGCCTTGTCTGCCCTTATTCTAATATACGTCTGCATCCCACCTCTTTCATCCATTATCTGCCTCTCCTCCGCCGGCTTCCACGGATGCGACCGATCAAAGCAGAGACAAAGACGAGCGCACCACTCAAACCATTCAAAAAGGCGCCTCCGTCCCCAGAAGGGGGGACGCATTAGCTCGGAGCCACCGCGACCAAGTCCGTGTGTCCAATAAACTTGGCCAGCGTTTGAACCCTTCATTCGAGGTGTGACATAATGGCCCTCTAGATTTCCTCCTCCGAAAATAACAATGATCGCCGCGCCGCATCGGTCAGGTGCTTCGAATTTTATGGTATTTAAATTATGCGTTTGGACGAATAAATAAGTCCTACTGTTTGCTTCTCAGATGAAAATTCGTCGGAAATACTGTCATGTAAGGACCAAAAATCTGCCTCATGTCACAAAAAAAGAGAAGAAAAACTTTGATTTTCAGCAAGGGGGAAGATGAAATTTATTTTCTTTTTCGAGGGTATGTGTATTACCTACATGTTACAGGGAGGCAAAAAATAAAAAGTGGATATTTAAAGGCTGATACGCGCCATCGGGGTTTCTCATCGTGAAAGAAGCTGGAATCCCTCGGTTCATGAACTTATAATCAAGAAATTTTCTCTAAATTTTCGCCTGATTATCACGAAGAATAATTGCTACATTGCTTTTAAGCCAAAGGTCCCCGTTTTCAAGAGAAATAGTTGCATGATTTTAGCAACACCTGATCCTGATGGTGCTTGCCAGGTTTCGAATTTCAACTCTTCGAATATGTTTAACTTTCTCCTCTGCAAAATATTTCTGCCCCGTTTTTCTTGAAAGTTTCGAGTAGTATGATTTCTTACTTTTACACCTAAAAACCAGGAGGTAAAGTTTTGAAACATCACAACAAGTTTCCCGATGTAAGCCGATGATAATGAAAGAAACACCCTTTTTCGCCGCGAGTGCTTGAGGATCGGATTCAAACGAGAGAACTCAATCTAACACTTTAAGAGGAATTGAATGAAGGCGAATGAGAACAATAGGGAAAGGTATAAGTTACGATCGGTGAATTACTTACTTTAGCGGAACTTTCTAGTGGATTCCAATAGACTGCTATTGCATTGTGAGCAACTTCTTCGATGCATCCTACCAGTCCGACACTATTCTTCGTATCTGAAACATAACGGAATCGTTATCAAAATCCGATCGTGATATTTATTTCAGCAGCAAGAATACATCCACCAAAGATTAGAATTTAGAGGAACGAAACACAAGAGTTGGCTTCATTTTGCGCCGAAGGCAAGAATAAATTATCATAAATGAGCCAGTTCCACGGAGAGCGGCAGAGGTGTGTGAGAGTTGGGTGATTTTTCCGCGCCCTTCGACGATCCTCGATTACTGTTGATGAACGCTCTCTTTGTCGTCCCTCTGACGTAAGGGCGTATCTTCATTTCCTAGTGAACCCTGCTGTCTATATATCGGTATGCTTTCCAGGGCTCGTGTGGAAATGGAAATACACCCTTACGTCAGAAAAGCGACGCACAGTGGATCGAGTCAATTGGAGAGGTTGGACAAAATTTGGAAACTTTAAACGCTTTTAACTCCGTTTGTACAAGAATTTGAGGATCTAAAAGTGGTTTCATTGGTTTAATCGTAAAATTTTCGCTCGGAAACACCCCTTGAATATTAAACTGTGACGAAATAAACATTAAAATTCGCAGTTTTTGTCAAAAATTTCATGCCCGACCTCTCTAATTGACTCTATCCACTGTGCGACGTCTGTTTCTAACGACGAAATGCGATCGTTAAAGAATTAGGATCTTTGTGATTGAAGCCAACATTGCGGTAATTAAAAGAAATGAATAATGCAGGATTCGATAAACTATGTCGATTCCTCCGTCAGGAACCGATTATTAATATTACTCTAGTGCTGCGTCACACAGATGGTTTTTGCCACCGAAAAAGTTCGAAAATTTGACATGGATAATAAAAATCCTGGGGATGATAAAAAAAATCCCAGGGATGAAAACACCCCATTTTAATATCTTCGATTTGTAAATTTCACCTCTTTTTTCAAAAGTCAGAAAATTCCATCTCCTCTCAGAATGACTCAGACATTTTAATTCGTGCGAGATGTATACTCGATTCTTGATGTCTCTATCGCAAGAACTGATCTTTTAGGATAAATTCCTGAATAAATTGACAATTTTTCCCTTTTCACGTACGTTTTTCCAAATTTCTTCCTTCCCCGATAAATTAAAGATAGGGTCTCTAGAATAACTTACATTAAATTCCTGACTATGCATGAAATTGGACTGAAAAAATCCAGCAAATTTAACGGAACTTTTTCCAGTTAAAATTGGTTCTTATTGGCTCCTTCGTATCCATCTCGAGCCTAAAACGGCGGAACCAATCAGCGTTAGAAACATTCGGTTCCTGGCGAGGGGCTCGAAACGTTCCCTACACACGCGCGCGATCTCGTATCGAGCCGAAAATTAATTAACAAAAAGCACAGGAAGGATGCTAGCCGTTAAAAAGCTTGATGCTTGGACTCGGTCATCCCGCGAAGGGGGAAAACATCTTGAAAATCGGAATGATTCTAGGCGTGGCTTGGATATTGAGTGGTATCAGAGGTCAAAATCATTTGGCTGCTTGCAAGGAAACGCGAAACCCGGTGGGGCCGTCGTTTAGCTCTTAACATAAGATATTCTGTGCAGACGGATAAATTATGTTCCACTGTAGTGGTTAAGTTGAGTCGCAAACCGCGTTGCCAAGTGGGCGCCCGGCCGGCGCGGCGGTAGCCGCTCAAGAACCGCGTAAGTCCCGAGAGAACCTAACGAGGATCTGCGGTTTTTGACGGGGCTGCGGTGGCGCGGGACGGGTGAATTTCGTGATATTTAATCAGGCTGGCAGCCGTGATTGAAGCCGGGAGTAGCGGCCAGGCCACGCAGCAGGATGCGGCCGCGGCGCAGTGCTAGAACCTAGAACGTCCATTAGATTCCCGCGAGATGCGCCTAACGCTCCGTCGAGTCTTCAAAATTTCATCCGAAAAAAAAAAAACTTAATTAAATATTCATCAAACTGGCCTCTCAGTGGTGGTCCGGGTCCGTGAACCTCCGAATGTCCTCACATATCTACGCTATCAGTGGCTCCCAAAGACCCCGCGTTCGTATGTCACCGCCGAGGGGGCCCATGGCTCACGGGGATCTTTCGGTGGACCGACCGAATCGGATGTGGCAGGAGATTAGAGATAGTGGCGCTGTGCATTTTAGGATTTCTGTCTAGAATCTTTTGAAAGTCACGATGTATGCCCGTGTAAACTAAGGGGAAACCCCTCGGACGTCATGCTTGATAAGGTAAAAATAGGAGCGCTAAAATTTTGGTTCAATAATAAACATATGCCGAGTTGAATGTTTTGTAAGACAACATCTTGGACAACATTTTGGAACACGAAACCACTATCTCTGACTCATTTTAGAAACATCGTATGTGCCAATGGTTCCTCTATTCAAATAGGTGATTATATAAATGCACCAGAAAGGATAGTTTCTTATTTCAAAATGGAAATTACATGAACGAAGGCCTCTATAAAAAATACAAGGTGATCCAAGACCCGAACCACCCTTGTGACCCCTAAGGATTCTGCTCCTTTTCAAAGGGATCCCCTCAAAGTTTTGAGGGACTCCAAACGTCGTTACTTCCGAGCAATAACAAAATTCCAATTCTCTATCTTGATTTGTTCAAAAGTTACAAGAGCGATGCCTGGTGCTGGCGCTGCGAGATTTTTGGATCACCCTGTATATTGTCTCTGTTTTTAAGGCATTTTCCTCAAGAACCGACTCTTCGCTGTGGCAAGAGTTTGCAAGAGACCTATTTACAGCGGAACATTGTAACCACCAATATCTCATGGTCCACTTTCGGTTCGTACGCGCGCCCTTATCCCGGCTACATTCTCATTTTAGGATACATCTCCCGATAAATAATCCTCCTTGAAAGGAAGCTTCGGGCTCTTTACGTTGCGGTTGCGAATGTAGCGATCATAATCGGAGAGCGAGAATCGTCGGATGTTCATGTTCGCCGTTCGCCGATGCTCTCGGCTTGGCTCGCAGAATTTGCACCCTCTCCTGACACGTTCGGCGAAACCCCCGTTTCCACGCGAGGTTTCTATTGAAGATGGGCGGTTGTTGGAGTCGTCGCGAGGCGCCTAGACTTTGCTTTCATGCGAAACTCAAACACTCGTAAATCTCCGGCGATCGTCGCATCGCCAGCATGTAACCGGTGTTAACATATCACAGTTATATCGCTGAGGCGCTTTATCCGCGCAGATCGAACCCGAGATCTTCGCACTGCATACTGCGTCGTCGTCATCGTTTTACATTCGAAATGCTCCTCCATGAGAGGATAATTTACCGCAAAGTAGGAAACGGAGGAAGTAGGTCTGTTCTGTTCGAGGGGGAGCCATGCGCAAAGAGCCTTGAGAACGTAAACGAGGGACCATTTGGAAAAAGGGCACAAACGCATTTGACGCTCTAAGCTCAGATTGAACAACTTTCGATACGTTTCCTTACCAATCCTGCCGTGATAAAGAAGAACGCCACATGAGCTTTCAGACGTTGCCATATTTTCTTCGATAAAAACATATTTTATTTAGGAAAATTGTGTATATTTTTACTCAATTTTTCCAGGCAATTTCGTTCGCAATTTTAACTAAAACGCTTGAAAATTTCAAAGAAAAATATGCATAATTTTCTTCTAAAATACATGTTTTATCCGGGGCAATTTGGCAACTCTCGAATGTTCATAAGGCGTTATTCATTTGAACGGCAGAAGCGTCAAATATTTTCTTTTTTCTTTTTTTGAAATACAATTCTGATGTACAATTCAACGTACGATTGTACGTTACAATTTTTGAAATACAATTCTGATTTACAATTCAACGTACGATTGTACGTTACAATTTTTAAAGTACAATTCCGTCAGGGAATTTTCCTGGCAAAGTTAAGTGAATTTTTATGCACGTAAAAGAGTGGCAAAATAGCAATATCATTGCAACACTAGATAGACATGCGCCCTTTTCTCGAATTCGGACCGAATGGTTCTGGTAGGTAGAATGCCACCTCAATCCTTTAAGAATGGAAAAATTGTACTTTCCTGACAAATCTGCAGGTTTCTTCCCCTTTCCTCCCCCAATTTTCTTTACCTTTCATAAGATTACAATCATTAGGTCGCGAATTTTGTTCAAGAACAATTCATCGAGTTTTTGATCGCCTTCATTTCCAAGAAAAATTTACAGCTTTGTTGTCAATCGAAATTAGTTTCTCTAAGTTTGCTTCATAAAGACACACGCTAAAAGTATATTCAAATCATTGAAAACTGTAGGGTCCCACCAATGTTCGCACTTTCTCCCTCAGGGTTGAACTGAGCGATTCATATTATTTTTGACGCATCAACTGTTTTCAGTCTCGCTCAAAGATATTGAGACACCAGCGATATGAGGTGTTCCCTAGATAGTTCTACTTGCCACATCATATGAATCACTGAATACAAAAAGGGCACATGTCCAGAAAACCAAATTGTTCAGGAGAAACAAAAAACTGTTTATTGTGTCTCCTGAACAATTTGGTTTTCTGGACCTGTGCCCTTTTTGTATTTAGTGATTCATACGTGACCAGTGGCGACGCGTGAATGATCGATTTTCGATATTTCTTCATTTGAAGCTATGTTAAAGAATCGATTATTAAAGTATTCTTTGCGAACACCCTGTATATCGATCCTTTTCCATAGGTTTAAATGGAGATCAATCGATACATCGCAAAGCACGCCACGCCACTGTATGCGACCCAGGGCCTGAGGCCTGAAACAGGAGAAGGGCAGAGGGGGACGAGGATGGCCTCAGCTGCTGAAGCCCCATCTTGGTTGACAAGTCTTTGGAGAAAATGGCGGTCGACGCCTGATTAATAGTCCAGTCATAATCTCTCCTTTCTTCCGCCCGGCTCGCCCCGCTCCCCGCGCGGCCCTCGAGTATTGCCGATTGCCGATTGCCGCGGCCAATCTCGGCAATTATCGCGCGGTCCGACCGTATTTGCTCTCCGCCCCCCGCCCCTGTGCAATATACGGTCGCCGGCCCCTCAATTAAAAAAAGTAACTTCTTCATCCTGCATTATTTGCCAATC